CAGACATAGGGATGTGTAGACGGGGAAGTTCGTGTCCAAGGGAAGTAGCTTGTATATTATGGTATTTGATCAAAGTGCAGAAAAAGAATGAAAAGGACAAGAATGAAAATATCTGTATGAATTCCATATAGGACGGGTGTTATACAAAGTCAAGAAAAAGAAACGCCACTCCAAACCGCCGTATAAGACAAAATCCCAGAACAAAAATGTGGTTCGAATAGATAAGGGGAGTTAGCTCTGTGAGATGAATGAAGCTGGAAGATATCCAGCACGAGAGACTTATGGTTCAAAGCTCATTCAGTGGACAAAGTACTCCCGGTTGATAGCTCAGGGGATGGTGCTTAGCCTTCTCGCCTTCAAACTCTTATTCATCCTCATAGTACAGATATTCATCATCGTCCTCTTCGGATTGCCCGAATAGATTCCTCCAAACGCCATCCCACAGACCCTTCTTGGTAACTAGGCCGCCGACTAAGAGAATAGGCAGTTGCCAGATACTGGCCCAGAAGAGGCCACGTGCAGTACCGTTCGCACCCTGATGTTGATAAAAGCGATATGCCTCGCGGACTAGCCAGCCATTGGCGAAAGTGCTGCCGACAAGGAAACCACTCCCAACGACATTGACCCACCAAAGACCAATGGAGATGGGGAACATCAGAATAGAATAGCGCAGAGCAACTCGTGCATTGCGTGCGGGGTTCACCCAGCATAGCATCCTGTAGCCGGCTGCTTTATACTCATCGCGGATCAGATGGGACAAGGCGTTGAAGTGGGGGAATTGCCAGGCGAACAAGATTGCACCTAGCAGCCATCCCCCGATACTCTGTTCGCTGAAAAGCATGTCACGCCATGTGTCATGGCCAATCGTCGCCGTCTGACCTGCTGCAGCGACCCATCCCATGAGCGGCGGGATACCACCAACTACTGCGCCAACCCAGGTATTGATTACGTGGATTCGCTTCAATGGTGTGTATACAAAGGCATATAAGAAAATATTGGTGGCGGATAGGGCGGTGGTTGTCGGGTTAGTCCCAATATAAAGGAGTGAAAGGCCCGTGACGGCGGTGCCAATGGCGAAGAGCAGAGCTCCCCGGTGCGAGACAAGGCCGCGAACGATAGGACGATTGCGCGTTCGGGACATGAGTGCGTCGTATTTCGGTTCGAACATCATATTGAGTGTATTGGCGCTACAGCAGGACAGGAAAGTGCCCACCGTCAGGTATATAAAAGTCAGGGTCGAGGTCGAAAGTGTGGGGAGTGGGGTCATAGCCGGGTCGAGGGTAAGCAGGGACGAGATTGGGTACATCCCGTATGCAGAGGTGGTGGTGAGGACGATCAAGAAGGACAGTCGCGGTTTCGTCAGGGCGAGATACGCAGCCAACTTGCGGCGGATGGAGGTAATGGGGAGTGTGGATGAGAAGTTCGACAATTGCGCCGAGGCATCCAGCGGAAGGCTGGGTTCTGGTTTTCCGGTTGCGTTGCTTTCATCCTTCAAGCGCTTTCGCCGCCGATGTGGTAGTTCCTCTGGTGTTGCTTCTGTCGCAATCGCAGCGGACGATGCTGTTGCAGACGAATTGACCTGACTGACAGTCGGACCGCTGGGAGCCGAAGAAGTGGTTGATTTGCTTTTCGCATTGGAGGATGCAAGTGAAGAAAGCAGGCCGCCTTTGATATTTGACCCGTCGTAGAATCGATTGGCCGAGAAGTATGATTTGTGGAATACCGAGGGGGACTGATCATCCGCAGTCCCGGTCCGCCGTTTCGAGGACGATAGGAACCCCCGATTGGCCTCGGGGCGCACAGAACGAGGCCCAAAGAGGCATTGCGAGCACAATAGCGCCTCTCGAGGCCTTCGTAGAAGGGATGGCCGCAGGGGGATCATGGCGGGTCGGTCATGCAGAAGGAAGAAAAGAGAACGAAAGAAGTTGAATTTCCCCGGTTGTGCACGGGCCACATCCGTTGACTTCGGAATGTCAACAAATTGTTCTTCTGGACATTGCCTGACCTCCAATACTGTTGTTCTTCCTTTCTGGTGTTTATTCTCGTCAAAATGGATATCCTTCAGAACTCCCTGATTACGCCTCTTCAGCCTTATTTGGCGCCTATTGTCTCAGCCATCCCTGAACCAGTGCATGATGCCGTCGTGTCCTTGATTGGAAAGTCTTGCCACGGTGCACTATTGGTCGATCTCGATCTCACTAAAGACCCTGCCTGCACATCACTCGCCATCTCCAAGGCCCTCGGCATTGCCATCGTCGGTGCCAGTGCAGTCGTCAAAATCCCACAGATTCTGAAGCTGATCAGCTCCCGCTCATCGGCCGGTGTCTCATTCGTATCTTACGCCCTCGAAACTGCCAGCTTGCTCATCACTCTCTCGTACGGCGTGCGCAACCAGTTCCCATTCAGCACCTATGGCGAGACTGCTCTCATCGCCGTCCAGGATATTGCTATCGGTATTCTGGTCTTGAACTATGCCGGACGCTCTGCCGCTGCTGCGGCTTTCATTGCTGTCGTAGCTGCCAGCATTTATGCGCTGTTGTTCGACCAGACCCTGGTGGATGCGCATACTATGTCATACCTGCAGGCTGGTGCGGGTGCTCTAGGTGTTGCTAGCAAGGCGCCTCAAATCTACACCATCTGGCGCGAGGGAGGAACCGGACAGCTCAGTGCATTCACAGTACGATTCTCTTTCCTTTCAACCTGATCCCAGTCCAAACACTAATTATTTCTTTAATCAGGTGTTCAACTACCTCATCGGATCCATGTCCCGAATCTTCACGACCCTCCAGGAAGTCGACGACAAGTTTATCCTCTACGGTTTCATTGGTGGCTTCTCTCTCAATGTGATCCTCGCAATCCAGATGCTCTGGTACTGGAATGCACCGACGCCCAAGCAGAAGGCCGCTCCTCGCGCAAAGGTAGCTGAGAAGGCATCATCGGCCCAGAGCACGGGAGCGTCCCCGAGACCTACCGTCAAGACACCCACTACTCGCCGACGGGGTTAGATAGCTCGGCTGTTGCTTACCTTTGCTTTTTTCAAAAGAATAATATTGCCGTCCGTTTTTGGAATCATGCATTTAGAAGAACATGCTACGAGAAGTTCTATTCATGGGAAATCGTAGACCAAGTACAGCCGTAAACATAGACTACTTGCCCTGAGTCAAGTGTCTGGAGATCGGGAGACTATGGCATCCGTCCAGTAGTCATATATCTCAAAATAAGATCCAGCGGCACGAACGGCTGAACAGGATGCGGATGGTGAGTAGCAATATTGAACTCGAACTCAGCAGCACCAGGCTTCCGATGAACGCCAACAACATCCATCTCCTCCCCATCCCCATCCCCGTCCTCATCCTCACTCTCCTCCTCCCCATCCCCATCCCCGTCCTCATCCTCACTCTCCTCCTCCCCATCATCGTCCTGCAATTGCCTCCTCAACCCAGTAACAACATTCTCAATCCCAGCCTCGCGCTCCTCAAGTGTAAAATTCCCACCCCAGTTCCTCCGCCGCGCTTCCTGGTTCGCCTCCAGCGGCGCCCATTCCCACAGCTCCGCGAGCTGCGCATCGCTCAGCGGTTTATGCGCGGCATCGGAATCGGAGCTGAAATTAGACGGCCCTGCGGTGGACTCTGTACCGGCTGCACGGCCGCGCGCAACCCAGTCTTCGACGCGGGGATCGAGTTTTGTGCGGAGGAGTTGCTCGAGCGTGTTTGCTTGTGTTCGGCCCGGGTACTCTGGGCCTGGGTAGGCGACTAGGTTGGAGAGGAGGTCGCGTTGGTCGGAGAGTTGGTCGGAGACGCTAATGAGGTTGTTGGAGATGATGCTTGCTTGGGATTGGAGGGAGGTCCTAGTTTGGGGTTAGTTTGTTTCTGGATAGTCGTTGTATTTGGCTGAGGTCTGGGGATGGGGTTGGTGGGATGGTAGCGCTCTTACCACGGCGGAAGAGGGTCGCTTTGATTTAGACTTGCGATCAGCGAGCCGAGTGAGCGAGTGAGCTGCACGAGACGCTGCCGCGATTGCTCGAGGACTTTAATTTGTTCTTGGGTGAGGTTGGACATGGCCAGTTGAGAGCTTTGGGTGGTTAAAGAGTTGGGATAAGATAAAAGTGTAGATCAACGGGCGCAACTTGTCTTACCCCAGTTTTCTTCGGCTTTTCTTCGATGACTACGTTCTCGTAGAATTGCAATCCTTCAATTTATTCATTCTATATCAAAAAATGTACCTACAACATAGGTGGACAAGTGGCAGCGCCTAAGTTGAAAACCCATCTCCCCAAGGACCAAGGACCAAGCAACAAGCCATCCAATACCTCCAACGCCCAATAATCAATCCCCAAAAATCACCACACAGCTCACAGATCCAAAAATAACATCAGGGTCGACCATCCCATCCCCATTGGACCCCTGGACCCTTGGCGGTGCGTGCTGAAACGCCTGCAGAACGGCCGGCCAATCTGCAGCGGCGCTGGAACACAAAAGGCTGTCGCTCAAAGGTTATATGGCCGGTCTTCTCGTATTTTCTGACAGTCTGGCTTGTGTAGGCTCCGCTTGTCCCGTTGGCATTGCTTTGCTGTGGCTTGTTGATGCTATTTTCGGATTGTTATGTGTGTACATGTAGGTGGTAGAGGGGCTGGCAGTCAATACATAAGTCGGTTTGCCGCCCTTCCTGGTGACATTGGATGCTGCTCCTTTGCAGTCTCCCTTCCTTTTTTACTTTGAGTACATTATTGTACTTGACGGGAAAGCCTTGCTGGGCACTTTTTTCTTCATTGGCTATTGACCAAACTATATACGCCAAAGATATGACATTGCAAGATGTCAGGGATATATCGACGCGATCCTAAAGCAGAACAACTCCGTAAAACAAGAAACCCAAACGCTATCAACAATAGGGGAGCTGATATCCTGATCTCATTAATTCCAAGCCTTCAACTGACTGTGCCATCCACAGACATTACAACGATGCTATACAGCACAACTAGGTACTAGGTGCCACAACAATCACTGCCACTGCTGAGAGTCCTTTCGATCCGGGTCCAAGACCTGCGGATGAACAGGATCCTGAACATGCTGGCCCTTCTGATCCGGGTCAAAGACCTGAGAGCGAGCAGGAACCTGAGCACGCTGCTGCTGGTATTCCTGTGGTGCAGGCTCTTCGATAATATCCTGCGTGAAGGTTGACTTGTCCTGACCTTGGAAGTGCTGCTGATACTGCTGGCTTTGATAATGTTGGTCCTGGCCAGGGCCATAGGCAAGCTCCTGTCCGCGGCCATCATTATCAACAAATGCAAAGCCTGAACCGTGGCCATACCCGCCGGAATTATACATCTGTTGCTCAGCCCAGGCCTGCTGGTGCTGTTGCGCGCTGATCGGCGACCCATCGTTCCAGTGGTTGTACAGATGAGGTGAGTTGCGGTTCCGACGGGCCTTCTTGCGTCGGTGCCGGATGAAGAAAAAGCAACATATCGCGAGGGATGAGACGATAATTAAGAATGCTATGATTGGCACGGCGATCACCACTCCCAGATTCAGGTTTGAGGATTTTGCAGTGGGCGTTGTGAGAGAGAGACTTGAGGGGAGGAGCGATTGGCTGAAGATTCTCGTTGGGGCTATGTCGAAGGTCTTGCCCGTTACTGTCTTGAAATGGCAGTTGTAGCGGATGGACTCGAGGACTGGGTTTGGTGGATGATGCTTAGTAGTGCTTTTTTGAACCTTTGGGCTTGGGATTTGCTGATATCATATGATATAGGAATGGGTTTCAGGGCATACATACAGTTTGCCATGTAAACTTGGGTGGTTGTCAAGTTGTAGCAGAACTCGCAGGTGTTGACTACATTATCTGCAAACGACGGGCTTTCACACCACGAGTCCAGATTCGATGTGTCTGGGGATTTAACGTCTGTTTCAACTGCCAAACGCACGCCATCGCATGCGACTGGGCACGGTGACGAAACATTCGAGATCGAGTCTGGAGATCCAAACACACACGTCGAGAAAGCATATCGCAGGTTATCTGTTCGATCGGTTAGACCTGAGCGATGAACCGCAGTCTGCGATCTCCGGAAGGTGGTACAACATACAGAGTCCCCAGTTCACGTCTGATTCTCCGGTCTCCGCATCGTTGAACTCGCTGTCCAACTGGCAAGAGATGCAGTTTTTGAAACTTTTCCCTACTGATGTCTGGTTGTATGATTGATCCAAACACGCAATCTCGGATGATGTAGTGTTGGTCGTTGTACCACACACATCAGTGCAGGGCGAACCCGGTGTAGTTTTCAACCCGAAAACCACTAGAGCTGGGCTATTCACCAAAACTATAGCCAGGACAAAAGCCAGCATTTTAGAGGAAAGTGAACTGTCGCCACTTAACCCGATCATGATGAGCCGGAGTGAAACAGAGTCCGACGGTTTCTGTTACAGCGACCGCCAAGTGGGAGAGAGTGGGCAGAGTGCCGGATAGAGAGATCTCACGTTGGCATGAGAGACGGTAAATTGTAACTCGGGACTGTGGGACTTTACTCGGGGTGGGAAAGCTTCTTTCTTTCACTGCAATCAGCTCTTGATCCGTTCCGTGTGGATATGACGGCCAGGATGACAGGGAAGTGCTGCACCATCAAGCACATGCAGAGCAGCTAATTCTCGGGCGAGGCAACGGGAAGGATGGGCCCGTCGAATCAAGCACATCTTCCTACTCCCGGTGTTGGTCCTCAGCGCTTAGAGAACGCCGCCTATAGGCTGGTTGGTGACTGCACCTTGGCTGGAAAATCGAGGAGCAGTTGGTGGGATGGAGTGATCGACCAGTCCTCCTGCTCTTAGTGGATAGCTGCAGGTGCACAGAGTGTGATGAACTCTGACGCTTGATTGGTGAGAAGCAATTGTGACTGTGATACCGTCTGCATGATGCACGGACGGGCGCATGTTCACCCCCTCATCTAAGGAAAGTCGCAAATTCCAGTCGAGGCCTATTGGAAACGGCTATCGGCATCCCTCGAGTGTGAAAGCGACGGGAAATTATTGGAGTTTTGATATGCCAAGCAACACCCCTCTTGCTAGGGCCGGGGGAAGACAGGACTCCGGATTTTGAAGTAATAGATCCCAGTACAACGTACTTAGGGAAGGACAAACGATAGACGTACAGATGTGAATTTCCTTAATATTGTGCTCAGATAATTATATGAGATAATTGAAATTGCAAATAAACCACCATGATGCAAAACTATTGAACAAAATCAAGGCAAATCGAGTCCGACGGGCGACTACAGAACTTTCGAACAAGACCAATTTGGTCTGGGACACCGACAAACAAATAAAATAAAATACCACCACATATAGACTTCTAGTTGCACGTAGTTGGTTGGGGTCATATCAACCATAGAGCTCATCATAGGACGGCACCATTTCCTGTGGAGGCGCAGACTCGGGTTCCCGATGTTTTGTACGGGGAGGGTATCTTTTCTCCGGGAAGGGAGGTTGCTTTAGGGCGTTGTACGCAACCTGAGGCGTGCAGGGTGGCATAGAGGGAGCAGAGATAGAGGATGCAGCTGTAAAGCTTGTTCGTCTCGAGTTGTTGCCACCAGATACAGACGTTGTAGGCTCTGTGGCACAGCTTTGGAGACTGCAACGGCGCATGCGCGAAGTCACAGAGAGCGGAGGAGACCTGGCTGGGGTATCGAAATCTTCGGGATCGTCGCGTGTTCTGTGTGAGACGTCCCCCGTGCCGTATTCCCGAGGGCTTAATTCAATCCGTGGGCCCGGAGTATCTCGCTCTTCCCTTTCTTCCTCTTCTTCGCATGACTCATCCGTAGTGCATTCGTCATTGTCAATAGAGCTTGAGGGTCGGCGATTTGGCCCACGCCTCAGATCACGAAGGCCGAGTCCTGGACCTGGTGGTGTATTTGTATCTCTATCTCCAACGCGACGCCGTATGTTTTGGTCGAAATATCCAGTCGGAAAGGATGGAGCGTCTCCCACTTGGTGTTCTCGGATACCCGTGCTTCGCGATCGTCTGCTCGAGGCGCTAGAACTCGGCTGGCGTAATGGGCCGGCGGATGGATATTGTTGATTTGCTTCGGGCTGTATATTGGTGCTCGCTATTGCATTCGCGACGAAACCAGAAGATTGATCCCACTGATTCCAGGACCCTTGCGTGGGATAGGTGATAGAAACATCACCCCAGCGAGAGTGGAGCTCTGTGGACACTCTGCGCTTCCTTTTGAACTTCTTCATGAAAGTAGCCATAGCCTTCAACCAATCTTTCATGGGGACTGGAAGGGTGACGCGTTCAAGGTTAAAATTTACCGAAGGGAGGACAAATCACTCCCCAGTACGGTGTTCATTTCAGAACTTATCAAACTCCCCACAGAGAGCATGGGTTCTCTCCCCAGGGCGACAAGTCGAGCACGGCTGAGGAATAAAGAGAGATGGAGAGAAGGTGACTAGAGCAAATAGATTGCCCGTGTGCGTTGAAGTTATATCAAAACAAAACGTCCATGGAGGCGCACTAGCCAACCACTGCATATCCAACGGACCAAGAAGAGCGAAGATCTTCTTGGTGAAGTGCTTGACGGGGATGGCGTTGGTAGCTAACTGACCCAACGAGTGATTAGAGACCCGGGAGAGAACCCGGTGGTCTGGTTGGCCCCCGGAGCAGAATCTGAGAATAGAGGCAATGCGCAAAAACAACAGCGCTTCGAAAAATAATAATAAGAAAAAAGAGCGAACCTGCAGGGCGAACACTTGGCCGACTGGAGGATCTAAGCAGGCGGCCGTAAAGAGAGGCTCCTATAGCTGCAGTGTGCGTAGACAATGCATGTGGGAGGGGTAATTGCGATCCCTGTTCCCCCCCGGCCATTCTCAGCAAAATAGATAGTCAGTTGACAGGTGCGGCGCAGTCAACATGCGTTGACGGATTTGACGCGGGTCGGCCATAGGTTGCATATAGTGTGTCTGTATCAACGCACGCTCGTCGTTCGTCGTCTTGGCATGGCGCTTGTCTAGGGATCTGCACTCACAAGGACAAAGACCATCGATGGATAATCGGAGTTGGGGTTAGATATCTGGAATGGCAGATTTATATCCTGAATCCAGGTGTCTTGGTCCAACAACTGGCGTGATGGACATATTGAAGTGGCTTCTTCTTGACCAGTCATTGCCAATGAGAAATAAAAACACCAGGTGAAGGACAGGGATCAAAAGAGGGGGTAGCCCCCTCTCTCAAAGCGAAAAAGCACTGTTTCACTGTGACGCATTTGAATCCCTGCAACGAAGTGGAGTTGAAGGATTAATATGCATAGTCGAGTAGACAGTACACAAAGTACCTCAAAGATTGCGCAGGTTCTGAGAGAAGAATTAATTAGAGACCAGAATCTCAGGGATGATCGAGGCGTTGGAGCCAGTTGGGATAGATGTAGGCGCCAAGGGCATGTGAAAAGGGGAAAAACTCGGGGTGATCGATATCGGACGGAGATTATAGCACAGACCAGGTGTCTTCTACTCTGTACGGAGAACACTTAGAGCCTCTCACCGGTTAATATATTTGATTTGTAAACACAATTTCCAAGGCCGAATAAATCCAAATAATCAAAAACAGAAAGCGTCATGTCGTGATAGTCGTAAAAACAAGAAAACCAAGCCCAAGCCACTATCACAATCCATAACCTCAACGGAAATTGGTGATCAGCCGCGACAGAACTGGTTTAGGTTGTTTTGGGGCCTGGGCCAACATCATTGGCTCAGATGCACTCCTTTCCCTCCTATCCTTGCGTTCCTGTCTGACGTTCTGCTCCGGTGGAGATGGTATAGCTGGCTGATGCCTCGACCTGGTTGGAACAGCTACGGGCCCAATTGGAGGCCCTTGGTCGGCCATTGAAACTGGCCGGGATGTTGCTAGTCTGGCGTCACTGTAGTGAACTGCACTCAAGCGGGAAGAGGGGCCGGGATGTGGATTGGCATGATTGGTGGGGTTATAGGTATAGGTGTGGGCGTTAATATCGCCCACCATGGATGTTGGCCGAATAGGCTGGTATCGTGACGGATCATATGTTGGCAGTGTGGGGTATGCCGGGGGTTGATCGTATGAAGTGCGAGAGAGCTGCTGTTGGTACGCTTGCACATGCTGGGCCTGGCGACTGTAGTCCGGTGCAAAGGAAGACAAGGGCCGGGGTAGGGAGTGGAGACCTCTGGGTGTGCCTAGTTCGTCCGTTTTATAGGCTGGTGGCGGTTCGAGAGGGGAGAGATCCTCGGATTGTTGGACGTTTCTTCTTCTGGCCCGTTCTTTTCGTGAGAAGAGATATAGTAAGCTTCCAGCCACTGGTTTAGGTTAGTTTGCTTTCGGAGGGTTGCGGCTCGGGCTGCATACTTGCTAGGAAGATGAGGCTGCCAGCTATTGCACCAATGATAATGACGGGGGAGCGAGAATAGTGGTTGTTATCGGAGCGGGGGTCAAGAGAGGAATTGATTGACATAGCCCAGTATGCAAAGGATACTTCAACGGGGGTGTGTTTGCCACGAAAACATCCAGGGTATAGATATCCAAAGTAAGCAAAGAACTGAAGTCAAGCAGCTTTGACCACCACGATATTGTATTCAGACCAGTAAGCCTTTGGAGTTGAGCCTCAATTGATGCTAGAACAATCCATACTTTGAAACTGCGAGGATATAGATATTTAATACCCTGAAACGCATCAACGAAGCTTAGTCTGTCCCTGACACACGGTCCCTGTTTCAAAGATATTTTGAGCGATTCGCGGGGAAAATAAAGATAGTATCAATTAGCTATAGATAGAATCAAAACTTTGACAAAATTAGCCGGCATTAGTTCCATTATCCTGCATAATCGGCCTAATCCGTCGGGCTAGGCCTTTGTAAATGCGCCCTAATTTCTAAATTTAACCTGCTGCAGCACAAATCAGGTCGATACATGTGCCATCACCGGGTTCCAGTTGAGGCCGATGCCGACAATGCTGTTGTACGTTGACTGGTTCGTCCAAAGCGCCTCGCGATCAGCAAATGAACCTCCGTGCAATTCAATATTAGATACTAGTGTACAGAGTACATAGATCAAGTATTCAGAAAAAGGAATCATCGCTTATTGGCTCGGGATTATGAAAGGTGTTGATTAGTGTGAGTGGCTGGCCCTTTTGATTTGATGAGTCTCCTACCGGATTTGGAAACCCTCACAGTTAGGGCTTCGGCGCCTGCATACAATCTGAGACAACGCAAGCCTTACTTCAATCTTCCAAGCCCCGATTGGCAAAATGCAAGTGTTCACTTTTTTAAATATCACACAGTTTATACCTTTTCCTGCTGCCACACCCCTCCTCTCCCTCTATCGCCGAAAATCCCCGGAGCCTCTTTACTCCGCATACGCCCGGAAAACAGCCATGCCCTTGTCGGTCACAAAGTCCAGCGCAACACCCTGCCCCACAAAGAAAACATATCCCTCCTTCAACTCAGCGGTTTTATTCTCGGGGAATTTCATCTGACCACAACCCTTCGTAACAATCATTAGACTCGGCCCCAGAATAGCCTTGTGCGTCTCGCTTTCCCCAGCGCCGAGAGTAGTACACAGCACCGAGAATTCGCTGATGGGCGGTGCATAGACATCCGTCTTACCATTCAAGCCCTTGTCGCTCTTTTTACGCGGCAACAGCGAATCCTCTGAACTATGCGGTACAAAGCTGAGAGCCTGCCCGAACAACTCGACGCTGTCGCGTTCTGCGGCCGGGCAGAAACCCGTGTTGATGACGTTATCCGACCGCGCCATGCACTCCACAATATCACCCTCGAGGTAGGCGTGGATGCTGTCTTGCGGGACGAAGACGGAATCTCCCGGTCCTAGGGTCATGTAGTTCATCAGCAGGGCGGCGACCAGATTTCCGTTGTCGCCTTCGCCGTATTGCTTTGCCAGACGACCAAGGAGGCTGGGGATGTAGGTGTGTGCGCCGAACTGGGATTCCGGGATGGCTTGTAGATCTTTCATTGTCTGTGCGATTTCTTTGGCTGGTGCGCTGAGTAAAGCCTTGCATACTTGGCGTAGGTCCTCGTCGTTGAATTGTCCGGATTTGGGCATGTACTTTGCCAGGTGGTTCAACTCGAACAGCGATTGAATGTCTTTCAGGGGTTTCCAGCCGGCGAAGAGCTCGAATTTTGAGAGTGCGATTGCAATCTCCGGCTTGTGCATTGGATCGCCATACTTCTTAGGATCTTCTTTGTGCAATTGTGTAGCGAGTTTCTGGTCTGGATGGATTTGTAAGGGTAGCGCTTTGCTGAAAGATAGAATCTAGATCCAAGTTAGTTATCTACATGGCCACACACTATAATTCTTGTATTTTGCGCTTGCCTTTGGCAGAAATGGAATCTCGGCACCCCATCGGTCGTGGACGGACTTGCCCACTAGCTCAGGGTGCTTCTTCAGATAGTCCCCAAGGTGTTCGCCCGTGGAAAGTAAGTGGGATGGGTTTGAAGGATACGTGCCCATCCACATCTGCTCGAAGGTCAACATGACTGTGCTTGGTTCAATAATTCCGAAAAGCTTACTTCTGAATAGTGCTTGGAGTCGTCAATTGGTCCATTTTTGGGGGTTTTCGACCATAGCTGAGCTACCATCGACTCTTTTCCTTTCTTCCCCCAGTCATCGTTCTATTAAACCGGGTTAGATCAGAATCGAGAATAGATATGTTAGCAAAATATACTTGCCTTGACACCACACCGAAGTTGGACTACTGCGTCTGCCATTTTGATCAAGATGGTATTGAGATAGTGAGTTCTCTATTGTTGGTGTTTAATGTATTCGACAATTAAAGTGTTTTGGATCGCTCCTTCGTGGCATTTTCTATTGGCCGGGGCAACTACGTTGATATGGCGTCATGATGAGATATTCAAAGACATCGCCACAGAGGTTCAAATATCTGGCAGCTGCCCTGATTAGAATGTGAATTTCAAGATAAAGTGGGAGCAAGAATCCGCCAATTGGAATGCTATCAAGAAGTACTTGAGTTGCACGTCACAAGAGCGCTGAAATTGAGATTGAGCCGTAATCCAAGGTTGAATACATCACAAATGAAGTAATATCCACTTTTCAATAATTTCCACCAAAGCTACTGTTATTTAAATGCAAATATAACGAAAAAGAAGATGAATGGTTTCATTTCGCGAAGATTGAAAGGCCAGTAAACTGTAACGACTAAAACACCCAGTGTAGTGATGGTCAATGAACACCAAACGCAAGCGAAATCCGCATAGACCTATTACTCATAGAGATTATCGGGATCAGGTACCATAGCTAACGTCATAGGCTTCGAGATTGAAGAAGCTCTCCTGCTATCAGCCGCAAAAGAAGGTGACATCCGTGGTCTAGACGGCAGTCCATAGTTCCGCTGCGAACTAGGACTATCCGAATTATCACCAATGTTAGAATACAGACTGCGACGGTCGTCCTCGTGGTAGTTGCTCACTCGGACGGCCGGAGTGTATTGATCACGATCGCGACCGCTGTATCGGTGATCAATCAAATCGGATGACGAGCCGCGCCGCGAGTGGGCGTTGCGTGTAGCCTCAATGCCTGGGCTTTGAATATACCGTCCGTTGGTCGGAATATACTTGAAGCGATTGCTGGGCTGAGTGGTCTTTTCGACCACTTCGGAGTTGTAGTCTTGTTGAATGGGTCGATATGCAAACTCATTTCGTTTTTCCTCGGAGTGTTGGGCGTCTCTTTCCATTTGTGATTTGCCCCGTAGTTGTCTAGGACGCGAAGCGAGGCGTACAGAGAGCCGGCCCGGTCGCAGGCCTCCTAAGGATAGTGAACTCCGTCGCGAAGCTGTTGAAGCTGCACTGCAGACGCTTCTGGCATCATCTTCTGGATCGTCCTCTTTCACTGGGCGGGAATTCCGGTCTTGCAGAGAGCAGTCGGGCACGTAGCCTGGTCCGTATGCTGATTTCTCTTTGACGGGTCGATGGGGATTTTCGTATTGATTCCATGAGCCATCTGTGGGTACAGAGATAGACACGTCCCCCCAACGAGCATGGAGAGGTTTTGAAGAGTCCGACTTGCGGAAGAGAGAAAGAGGTCCGTTAACGATTCCTGCCATGATCTCTGTGAGAGATTTGTGTGGTATCGACTCGCACTGCTCTGGTATCGCCCCCCAGCAGAAGCAAAAGATGACATTCGTCTAACGGGGGGAGGAGAGTAATAATAGAGGGGAAATATAGGACAGGGTTGATATTAATGCGTTATAACAAGAACCAACAAGCAACCGGTGACAAGGACCAGCTGACAAATTTGCAAGTCGGCAGAGCAGTGAGACTTCTGTGGCTTTCAATGCAAGTATCCTTCTGCGATAATACAGAAACAAACAAGTGGGAAAGGCCGTGGATTGGCTGGTAGCCAGGTGACGACGAACAAGGGTCTTGAGGGGCAATGGAGGGGTCTCCAAAGAATCCCTGCAAAGACGCAAGCTGAAAATAAAAGCAAAGCAAAGCAAATGGAGTCCACCAGGGACTTTGATCGAGCCAGTCTAACACTGAGAGCGAGAGGACTTCATTTCAGCGGAAGGCGTCGGGATATAAAGCTTAGTCTCAGAACGGGGCTACTCTAAGAGATGTAAAAAGGGCCTTGTGCCAGCTGTTGAATATCTCATTCATTGTAGCTGTTCACACCACCGACCAATAGGGCTTGCCCGTTAGCGCTGAGAGCTGACAGAGATCTGCAGTCTGCGCTTGACAGGGATGTCAGTTCAAATGTTCCTTAATTAGTTTGCATATCGGCCACTTTCGGTCTTAAAATAGATGTCAATTAGCTTTAATGTATATTCCTTGCTTGCATAAAGTACGATATGCATGCAGGGTGAATGTAACCCAGCTAATTAATTAAGGATATTTATAGACATTCGCATTAATATGAAACTTTCCACTTCTCCGGAAACCTATCCTACTCTAGGGCTAGAATTTGAGATTGTGTACAAGCATTTTATTGAGCCCCAGGAAAGATAAGAAAAAATAAACGTATAGAAATCCTCCACCTTGTTCACCTAGAACTTAGATTTGACCACCTCCGTCAAAACGGTAACTGGACTAGAATAGAAAGTCGGCAACAATATTTTTCTCCTACAGGTCCTCCTGATCCTTTGGGGAGTTCGATATCTTTCAATAGACGGCTAATCTTCCTGTATGCTCTTTAGTACGGTTTATGGTGCTGTGACAATCCCCTCGGGCATTAAAGAATTAGTTTGATTTCAACTTTGATCCCGGGTTCCTATCTACACTTCATATCTCTTTCTTTTTGTTCGCTATTCGGTCTTATGTAGTCGACTGTTAATTAAGATACAATTTGAGGATAGTACAAGGTTATCCGACATGTCAATTTAGGCTGGGGCTCAGGGTAGCTGCATGGGCATAGTTGAATATGCGTACTCTGATGGCAAGGAGATCGCGCTCTAAAGTGGTCGAGGTAATATAGAGAAATGTGTATTTTATATAGTGATTCAACGCATTCAAACCTGAATAGAAAAAATATTGCTTCGTAGAAACAGGGGAAGTGATCATGCGTTTCTCGTAAGTGGTGGACGACAAGATCACAGGAGAATACTCAATCCTCCATACGCCATTATTGTCCACGACTTGTCGCAAGAACATCGTCTCTTCATATGTGCTTAGAAAGCCATACATACAGCCCAGATGCTTCATATACATGATAGGCTGGGCCAATATCTCTCTCAAAAGCCTCGCATTGGCAATCCTTCGTGTCATCTTCATCTGATGCTCGCCAATCCACAGTACCTTGAGCTCCCCCACGACCTTTAAGGTGTGATTGTTGTCCTTCAGTATCAAGTCAGGTGTGCCGGGGTATGTAGACTGGATACATTTAAAATCTGCGAAACGGAGGTTGATGTTTGCTGTGATGGTCGATTGTAACTCGAAGATTGTATTAAGTACGTCCCCAAAGAAATTTTGGAATCGGCCTTGAACACCGTGTTCATCGCCAACCTCAAAATTTCTATACGCATACAGATCTCGGGCTTGAATCATGTAATGCTGGGTACGGTTCTCATGGCAGGATAGTGAGGTGTAGAATCATAGGATCAGGAGTTAGAGTAAGTGTGAAGCTTTCAGATAAGTAAGTTGATAAGTGAAGGGTGAATAATAGAAATGAAGACAAGAGTTACTTTTAAAAGCAAAATGAGCAGGCTAGATTTAGCTAGCTGCCGGCAGCCTGACCTTTCGGGCATCTACGATCGTAATGCTAGACAATGGGATTAAATGGGCTCAGAATACATGTGTATATTGCTTCATTCCACTGTGTCTCGCGACATTGGAGGGATCTGGGTCTACTATAGGGTTTCTATGTGTGTCACCATCCCTTGTATCACGATATCACTCGACTACGGCGCTACTAGATTACGTAGATCTGACCATAGATTGTCAGATTGATAGGACAGTGAGGTGAGAGTAGGAAATCCTTTCATTCATCTGCCCGTCCAGGCTTCTTCTCAACACCACAGTTGTGGCCAATGCGACCGGGTATCTCAGTCCTCGTCTCAGTCCTCGGCTTCCTCCCCATTAGTCTCCCCCTTCGGCGACATCGGCCTCATTGGCAGGAGTGACCATGGCAGCTCCCTTCTTGCGTCGTGGAGTACCTTTGGGGCCCTTCTTCTTGAAGCCGTATTTCTGTTGCAAGCGAATAAATCGCATGCGACATGCTGCCTTGTTGATGCCAAGGATATTGGCTGCGGCCTGGTGATTGACCTGTGGTGAACTTTGATTAGTATACTATATAGTCTAGCAGTTAGGTATTAAGTGAGAGATAACTGACCTTCACGGTATCGAGAAGGGTTAAGAGGAACTCCTCGTCACTGGCCTTGGGGGCCTCTACCTCGGTCTCAGCCTTGGCCGGGGGCTTGACATTGAGCTTGATTCTGAGCTTGGCCTTGGGTGAAGCAGGCTCATTGGCTTCGCTCGTGGTATCGGTTACTGGAGCCATGATCAAGTTTGTTTGTTGATAGATAGATGTGATGGAAGTGATGGATAGTTGGATCAAAGTCCTGAGTGTGGATGATAAGTCCGGAAGGTTATGTGTTGAAGAGAAGAAGAAAAGCAGACAGTAACAAGCAATTGGAGGGCTTTTATATCTTTGGGTTTCAAACAAACGGGGAATCAATACAACCGGTACTCAGTCATGAATTCTGGTTCCAATACGATAGACTACCCGATACAGTACATGTTAGATCCCTGTAAGCAATGGTGTTGTTTTAGTATCTTTATCTAGAATACACAAGCAAGAGCACTCGGTTTGGAACCTATAGCAACCCAGGCTGCTCGAGACACCTACCTCTGTTGAGACTTGACTAGGGCCGAGCTGACATTCCCAATGATCCTGTTGAGATATCGCAGGTCACAGGTGCCTTTCCTGTAGACAGAATGAACTGACTATCATTACTTTCACTTTGTAGGTACATTTCCGCTAGCCCTATACTGTAATCTTTACGTCCTCGGATGTGAAATAATGAATGCAGCATAGAATCGGCCTCTAGGAAGCGAAGAGAATGGACATGGCCGCAGATACTCTTTGCTTAAGATTATTGAGACATCTACAAGGGGTCACAGTTTCCTAAATGGATATGTGTCAGTCACTTAAGGCTCTCGCCATCCCCACGTGTGCTTTACAGATGGATACAAATCTCTTCTCTGCTTTTCCTTGGGCCCAAGGAAAAGCCAAAAGATACATAAGACTGACAGATAGAAGGCAGAGAGATTGAGAAAAAGGAAATACGTAAACAAACAATCTTCAAGACCGGAAACGAACAGCAGCCCAACCTACGTCAAACAAAACATTCAAAATGAGACAATTCCCTCAACCACATGGCAATGATACATATCTACTATATTTCTACTTGCCTCTCGTCTCACAGAAGTACAGGCCTAGTATAAAGCATTTCAAGCTTCAGTAGAGAAAGGTGGGATATATAGGCTAGCGAGCTTGAAGTATCTATAGATACCTTGCCTAAACTGTCTCTGATACCGGGTTGAGGAGCTATACGACTGTGCGTAACAGATTCTGTTATCTTTTACCAACTCTATGGAGTAAAATATATAATGACTATAAGTCAACTTTGGCGGCTGGAATATCTGCACAAGCGTGTTTTTTGATAGGGAATGAGCTCTGTGATTGAATCATCTGGCCACTTAATAAGTACTTTGTCACATCAAAAGACTAACCACTATATAGTTTTGATTTGACACTGATACATCATGATACCTAGGTAGCGCAAACGAGTGTGTATTGATAGAGAAGTGACAATATCTTCAAATCCAAAAAGTGACAAAAAAGCCTGCGTACAATTCATAAACAATAAATCGTCTCGCAGACCCGAATCCAACGAAAGAAAAAGCATCCCAACCAATCTTTCCCATGATATAACCAATATTCCCTATAATGTATACAGTACTGGGCAATTGAGTCAACTACTCCCAATACATCAGACCCTCACATCCACTGTACAACAAACACGAGGCGCGAAAGCTGTCTTGCGTGTGACATCAAACATCAATTCATATCAGAGGTCCAAGACTAGGTTCAGTGTAGCAATAGATGGCGAGAAGCCACTTGGTCGCTCAGCTACTCAGTGTTTACTGAGGGGAGCCGGTGGGAGCGGGAAAGTCAGTGGGGAAGCCACTGGGAATGCCGCTTGGGAAGCCCGAGGGAAGAGTGCCAGTGGAAGTCAGGAAGCTGCTGGGAGCAGGTCCGTTGTGGGGAGGCCCTTGTTGGCCGGGTCCCGAGTGTAACTGGCGCTTGTCGAAGGGGAGACCGGTGGGTGCAGGGAAGTCAGTGGGGAAACCACTCGAGAAGCCCGAGGGAGGAGGACCAGTCGGAGTTGGGGAGCCGCTAGGAGCAGGTCCGTCGGGGGGAGGACCTTGATGACCGGGTCCAGAATGGAACTGGCGCTTGTCAAAGGGCAGGCCAGAGGGAATGCCGGTAGGAGTGCCGGTGGCAGTTTCGCTGGGGATGGGCGCATCACTGGGGGCGCCAGCGAAAGGCGGGGCACCCTGGGGCAGGGTGCCGAAAGGAGAAGGACCCTGGGGAAGGGCGAGGGCGCAGCCCATCATGCCCATAGCAGCGATGCTGATGTACTTCATTGTGATTGGTATAGATTAATTGGAAGATATATCAAAGTAAAGAATGGAGAAACTTGAATCAGAAATCAGATATATGGGTGGTGTATCAAGGACAGATTTTATAGTTCGGAGAAAAAACCATGGAGGGTCTGGGACGGGTTTATAAGTCTGCCGATTTACCAAGCTTGTTGCAAGGCCGAAATGGATTCCGTGATCGCGCCATGACTTCAGTGTTGTTGCTTTCTCAGAGGCTGGACAGGCCGGAAGGTGGACTGGCCGGACGATGATACCTTAAAGCGGTACGGAGTAGAAGTGGGCTTGTCGATCTTAACTTGGGGGACGCTAGGGTTGTCAGGGACCAGGTAGACAGCACCCGTGGATGGGCAGAGCTCTACACATGGCCTGGGCCTGAGGTATTTTCGCTGGATCGTTTGCTGGTCAGCCAACGCGTAAGAGAAGGTAAAAAGTTGTCATAGGCATTCGACAAGGAAAGTATCGACGGTACAGTTGGGCTACAGACGCCACAGCCAGGTACCAAACATTAGTGCGACGATCATGTTCCGCGTGCAGAATAACGTAAAAGCAAATCGATGATTGTCAGGATGGTCTGACCGTATCAATCGCTTCCCTCACATCCGTTGTACATAACAGGTTCGCAACGTGGTACGGCCGAGGGCTCTAACTCGACTTCAGGACGCCTGGTGCAAGATACCCCTTTTTTGAGGTCGTATCACATCATGTCAGAGATGATGTCCTCATCCTTCTATTTTCCGACGTCATTAGACTTTATCCGTAACAGAATGGCTGGTCACTCGTTTCATGTGCATAGACTTCGCCAGACTTTGCTTAGCAGGATGCGCTGGTTGTCCACGGACAAGGGTGGACTCAAGGTGGCTAGAAAACATGAACAGAGTCACCGATTGATAAATAGGGACCAATGGTTAACGACTGATCGGCAGGGTGGAACACCTTTGTTCCAATATTTCTGAGTTGAGAACATTTAGGCTAATTTTGGATCCGCAGGAGAGGCGCTCAAAACAACTCAAGAAGTCTCCCTAAGGTTGAGCTAGGATATACTCCACCGGAATATAGAAAGCATCGCCTCTTTCTGCAAAAGATCGAGAACCATACGGAGTAGAGAACCATAGGTCGTGATCCTCGAGGTGGCCTGGAACATTAGTTGATGGCCGAGTCGTCGTCAGCCCTGGGGAAAGGGTCCACAGTGGAACCCCGTGATTGATATAGACTGGACGTTGGTAGTGGACACTTCCACTTTTCCCTTGAACACTTGCAACATCTTGCAACATGAGGATTACGGAAAAATATGGACCTGTTTTGTGTTTCGTTTCAATCTATCGGCATATCGACGTATATTGCACATCCATGGAGTGCATGAACATGTGAAACGCGTGTCTACATGACCCATCACCCAAATTGCGAATTTGCCGATTGTTTCCTGATATTGATTTGCTTCCGACCTCCACTAGCTTCTTTCTAATTGGCTTTTCAAGGACGCCAAGCATTCCTTTGTGGCTACAGCATTAAGCTCACTCAGCGGCATGTTCCCGGGACTTTGTGCTGGGAAATAGCTTAGCTTCAGGGCCATTAGCGCCGACGGTGGAGAAGGGTATCACGATCAACCCTTGAATGGAGAATAATATATCTTTATTAACTTAAAATTAGCTACGAATAGCCCCTTAAAGGTTTCGACTGTTTCATCTGAGGATTCAACGCCCCATAGTGTGTATACGTGAAAATTGTCCCCGCTAAAAACAAAAAACCGCTGCATGCATGTCATATGTTGTAGATAGCAAACAGAAAGGAAACAGACAAATCCGGCAGATTCGATATGCAAAGGGGATAACCAAGAGGTGGTATAGTACGATAATATCGGGTTGCATAGACTAACACCCCTTTCTATAGATGCCACCAACCCGGAGACAACGATAGACAAAGAGAGGGAATATGACCGAAAAGAGATGTAGTGGATGCTTAGCGGTAGGTGTACGGAATTATAACAATCGGCAAGAATCAAAAAGCCTTCTTGTCCGAGTGTCCTAGATCGTACACGAAATTCGGGGAATTTGAGGGGCGAGCTTGTACTTCGTACGTGTCAAGAATCCGGAGTATGCGGCCTGTGACTCCCGAAAAAGGAAAGGATCAAGTAAGCTGCACAATTGCTTGTATATTATTCAATTCTGCCGCTTGCGCGTGAGGGGCTCAGGCGAGCTCGGAAGGAGTGTTGGCGTTGGAGTCATACTGAGCAGATGGCGGGATGAAGGTGGTATGGTCACGGAGAAATCGCGAGCCGACGGCGTATAAACCTGCTTTGGGGAACTGCGACGAGCCGTGGAGGAGAAATTATAGGCCGGGTTAGAGGATAATGATGATCGTCGGGACCGGACAGGGCTGCGGGGCCCGTGACTCGGAGCTACTCTGCCAAACGAAGATGACTCTGAGAACGTTCGGTGGCCTGCGAGTTTGGGACGAAGCATGTATGATCGTTCGAGCTCGTCATCGCTGCTTGACCCAATATCGAACATCCCTCCATTGCTGAAGAATACTGAGGATGTACGGCGGTGGGTCCTTGTTTGGGTTGGCATGAAGATTGACTCGCTTGATTGCGAGAGAGGCGGGTTCTCTAACGAAACAGTGCTTCGTTCCTTTCTCAGTTCGTGATCTGGCCGACGTAGTTCCTGCCCACCCGACTGCCTCTTTTCAAATTCGGGGCTGTGGGACCCTCTTCGCCTGTCCCGATAACGTCCCCTTCCGTTGCTGTCTGCCGAGTCAATCGAGTGACGACTACGGTGCGGCATACGTAGATCAACCTGACTTGGACTGAAGGCCACCCGGGCCCGCATATTTTGAATTGCATTATCGAGTGCCAGCTCAATGGCGCAGTGGTTTCGGATACGGCTTAGTCTCGGCCATGTCGCCCGCTCGCCACTCAGGCATGACGAAAGCATGAACTCCGTTGTGGGATTCTCCAGGAGCCTTGGGAGGTTAGAGGAAAGGAGTTCTGGGTATATGTTGATGTCTCCATGATATTTCTGGTTCACAATAGAGGCAAACTTGGTCATTGATGTTGGAAAGACTCCAAGTTCTGAGAGGACGTTCATCCGATGCAGAACCTCGTCTTTGGCAAGGTGCGCCATCATGTTCATCCATCGAGGAATGAACGAAGGGCCGTCGTTTGTCGCATCCTGTGGGCCTGTTTCCTTTGGAAGAAATGGAACCACATGGGGGTTCACTTGGGAGACTATAAAGTGATTCACGTTAAACATCTCCGATAAGCGTGTCATGGGTAAATCTCCATCGACCGAGCCATCAATATACTGCTTGTGAAGATCATTCCAGGGGACCGGTTCCCCTGTCAACGGATCTTTAGCCATCAACGTGAATGGCCTAAAGACAAAAGGAACAGAGCATGATACCGCGCTTGAAAGACGTTAGAAATGGGTTGATGATGTGAAAAAGGAGGAACTTACACAGCAGACCAGATCAACACATTGGGAGCAGAAATATAGTTCAACAGCCGTGGAAGCTCATACATGCCGGCACTTGACACACAGATATTTAGGATTCTGCGGGTGCGGTTATATGCTTCCTGAAAAGTCATATCCCCCAGCCAGTTTCTGATAGTCTTCGCCAAGTGAGATATGTCAAAAAATGATCCAAACTTCAAAAAACGAGTCATCTTCTGCAAGATATTTTCCTCTTGGCCCTTTTCATTGAAAACGTCGAAATCCCCATGTACATAGGTATCCAAAAGCGCCGGAAGCTCTTCGTCTGTGCGCGTGCAAAATACCGCGCACACAATGCTACCAGCCGAGGCACCTGAGATAATTCGCGGAATCATTTTTGCTTCATAGAGGGCCTTGAGAACCCCGATATGGGTCATGCCAAAAGTGGCACCACCGGAGAAAAGGAGAGCACTGCGACCAAATGCCTGTCGAGCTGCCAGGAGCTGGTCCAGGATATACTTCAGCTCCAACCCATCACAGCGATCATGCACCGAGAGATCCACCAGCGTAGCGATAGTATCCAAAGCCGTGGTGATATACCTATCGATCAAGTCCTTTGTACCAATATGCGAATGGCGATAGAGAGAGGCATTGCTCATATGCGCCAGGTCCCGACTCAGCGCAGTACGCACCAAGAACAACATCCGGCTTACATCACAGCTGATGCGAGCCTCTTCCAACTGTCGCAAACGATCCTGTACCAAACGAGGATCATATTCGGTGCACTCGAGTGTCTGCTTCCAAGCGTTGTTATCCTCTAGTTCGTCCAGTTCACTGGCGCAACTTCGCCATTCTTCGTACGACACAGCCTGCAGCCCAAGGGTTAGAAAGGGGTCACCCTGCAGATGCGATCGCTCGGCCCAGGTACACCGCATGTACATACATTCTTTATTTTCAGATACAGGACTTGCTTGCGGTCCTCGATGTCCGCCCTTTGTTTCCGTTGTTCCTTCGAGAGACCATCACGGTAGGTGTGCAGAGTATCACCGGCCCAATTCCACGAATCCTTCACGAGCGACGATACGGTTGGGATGGAGATCGTTTTGCAGAGCGGTCGCGGAGGTAAGGGTTGGGGTAAAGAGTATTCTTGGGAGTGTTTGCGCCCATGATGGCACTGAACTAATGTGGGGTCGCCCAACACCGACATGGTAGGCCTGTGCATTAGAGAAGCAAGCCATTCAGCCGGGGTGTGAAATGCGGAGATCTGTTAGCTCCGGAATGAAAGTATTATAATAAAAACGAAACCAGTAAACGAGTTATAAAAGTAGAGATTCCCCGGATTCAAGTCAAGTTTGGCGGTGACCTAACAAACGTCACGAGGGCCAATGGTAGCCATTTTCTTCGGGCCCTTTGAGCCACTTGGTTCCTTTTATGACGATTTCACTATCACATGCCATACACTATTTTACTACTCTAGGAAAAGATGTGCGATATACAATATTTCTTCTATAACCGATAGTATCAGAAGACATGATCTCACCCCACGATCAACCTCATCTCGGACAGTGGGGAAGCATTGCTGCATGGTCATCACCTTTCCCTTTGCGTTTTAGTGCTTATTCCTTGCCGCTTTTGCTCCCCTGAGTAAAATTGAGCACGCCCTGAGTCTTACATAATCAGGTAAACACCCAGATCACCTGATAATTACGTAAGTTGAATACAGGTCAGGTGCTCATCTGGGCACCTGACCTCGTGAATCTTGCCCAAAGCGTGGACACTATTGATGACATTTGTGCGATGGATTGATTTAGTTAGCTGGAATGCATGAAGTTTGACAGGCCCGACTGATAGTTGAAATTGCCATGCCCGAATCATTTGATTTCCATCTGGCTAACTATCCGTGACATGAACAGCATCCTTTTCTGATCCGGGTTGGCCTTATAGAACTCGTTCGTTTTCCTGAATTATTGCATTCTACCAAAGCTCTTCACTGCCACCTCATTTTAAAACACACTTTCTCTTCATTGAGACGTATGGTACGGTACTACTGAGTGCCTACACCGTATGCGACTCTAGGTGGATTCCTACAAGCACATCCCGAAGTCCGAACAGATGCACAACCTGGCCAAACGCAACCAAAATATGGAATATCTGATGGCTAGCACCCTATATTTCTCATTAGTCCCAAACCATCCTCTTTCCGTTATGAACATGAATCAGACTCACGATAATATCAAATTGCGCCGGCCAATACCGCTCTGGAAACCGGAAGAGATACGCCACTGTGCCAATTGCGTATGAAGAACAGGTTACTATGAGAGTCTCCCAAGGGATGCGGATGAAATCGCGAGGGGAACCGCTCGAGATGACGTGGAAGATAGGGGCTAGGCCGCTAGCCGCAAGAAGGGTGAATACAGTTGCTCTGTGTGAGGAAAGAACAGGTGTTATTGAACTGAAATGCTGCAATAACACATGAGAAGATATTATGCTAGAGCTTACCTCCATGGACCAGCACGTGTACCATCCATACCGACATCAAGTGTGATACAGAAGACCATAGCTGCGCAGAGAACAGTGAAGAAAATGTAGACGCATTGGAGCCTCGGTTCTCCGTGCAGGGCGAAATAAGCGACTGAGATACATGTAGTTGAGATGGTGAGCACAATTCCGAAGTAATCTAGTTTGAGGAAGGCATGAGCGACTTCAGGCGAATGAGCGTTGGTTGCGTGGAAGGTAGCCTAGAATTGTGAGGATCAGTTAAGTACTTCTGGATTTTGTAAAAAGGATTGATTAACGGAGAGACTGACGGAGAATATGAGACACCCTGCAGTGCCGGCAACATACGTCTGAATAGCAAGTATGTCTGATAATGGCACTTTGAGTCCCAGTTGGGCGATCCAATAGTCGGTGGCGAGAAGAACGGCGAGGAAATAAATTCCTGCAAGGACGTGTGACCAGGTGTTGATTGATTCATTATGTAGATAGAATAGGGACCAGAAACACCGCTTGAAACTATTCAGCTGGGTTCGGTATCCTCGTTGGATAAACGGGTCCCATTGCATCCATTTAGGAACGTCGGATGCATGGAAGACATGTTGCTTTTGAGGAAAGCCAGTCTTGTCCGACTGAAGTTTTTCCACCACCTCTGGGCGCAACCCGGTTAACAGACTGGTCATTGCTAGACGGAGAGAAGACATGATGATAATGAGCTGGGACTTTTGAACTTTGAACTCGAGGAAGGATGTGCACGGTGACACCCACAGAGCAAGGTCAATCACTGCGTATAAGTAAGCTATATGAGAAATCTTATCAGTTTCGTCGGCGCAAGAGTTATTCCAAGGTGAGCAAGAATGCCTTCAATCCACTATATTCCGTCATTATATCCAAAGCAACTCCCGAAATCCACCTAGAAACCTGTATAGAGTTACTCATGCATCATGACCAAGGCTTTTAGTAAAAAGCAAGGGGAGAAATGAAGATAAGAAAAAAAGTCAAACAAACGGATTCAACATATGTACGTCGGTGATGCAACCTAAACGGGGAATTGAAAGTGCATGCATGGCCAATATGGAATTGAGATCTATATCGGCATGGCGGCGGCCCTTCCCGGTATTTGAGAACTGGATCTGTGAGATTGCTTACTGGTATTTACTAAAGAGGTATGATACATTACATACCGGACGGTAACAGAAACCGAATACAAAAGTACCATTTGAAACGCGGGGCTATGCGGAGTACCCGCCCGGAGTACCCGTAACGGAATATCCGGGGGCCCACTTCTGACAAATCCAAATTCGCAACCTTTGGAAAGAAGACGGGTATCCTTGCAACCCTATCTCGCCCCTTGGATTTCGTTATTTCTTTTAGTTCTTGATCATTTTGATTCTTTTTGTAACCATCATGCCGCCATTTTGCAAGATTGCTGTAATACAGCTGTATGTTAAGGCAAGATTACATCCACAATTCTTCAGAAATGGAAAATGCAAGACAACCATATTATTATTTCAGTGTCTGACACATGACCTTCTAGCCCCTCAGGCCCGAGGATAACTTCGCTCGCGCTGTAAACTTCATTCGTGAGGCTGCAGCTCAGGGATGTCAACTCGCTGTCCTGCCTGAATTTCACTTGACGAACTGGATCCCCACAGACCCCCGCTTTGCCTCGTTGTGTGAGGATTGGGAGGTCTATTTGCATCGATATCAGGCCTTAGCGAAAGAATGTAATATCTGCATTGTCCCTGGGTCCATCGTCCGACCCGTATCTGCATCTTCAGCACACGTCACAGAGATAAACAAGTCCGACCAGAGACCCACGACACCCATTTTGGAAAATGCTACCTTCTTCATCTCCAATACTGGGGAGATACTAGGCTCATACATTAAAAAAAATCTGTGGGGCCCAACTGAGCGAGCTTACCTTCGCTCTTCCGGCGACAGCCCCCACCAGGTCATCCAAACCCCCCTAGGTCCGGTCGGTCTGCTAGTTTGCTGGGACTTGGCCTTCCCCGAGGCATGGCGGGAGCTCACGTCCAACGGTGCGAAGATTATTATTGTTCCCACTCTGTGGACCCGCAGCGGTGCATCCGAGGCGGGCCGTCGGCAAAACCCGTCCGCGCCGTCCCTGTTTCTGGACAGCATTTTGACAGCACGCACATTCGAAAACACCTGTGCCGTGGTCTTTGCCAACGCAGGCGGACCACCGGGCAAGAACTACTGCGGTCTTTCCCAAATCACGATTCCATATGCCGGCCCATTGGTCCGTTTGGGTACCTCCACCGAAGGAATGGGGGTGGCCACCCTGGATATGGCAGTGTTGGAGGATGCGGAGGAGAACTACGGGATCCGGGCGGATATGGCGGATCCTGCCTGGTGTTACAAGCATACGCAAAGAACTCTCGCTGAAGTTACCAAAGGAAAGCTATAGACGAGATGACTGGCTCATATCAGAACATCATCGAAATTTGACTCTTGAGCACGATAATTTCTGTATCCAGCCTCTAGCCCGCAACTTAGACAAGAAATTGAGATTTTTTATGTGAAATTGCATACTTATCATTAACAATGAGAGGACGCCTTGCATGCCGGATCAAAACTACAATTCCCTAGAGGTGTCCTCTAATCAAGATAATTACCCTGCATGTCGTCCACTCATGCAGGGCCCACTTCGGGCATCCGCAATTGCGCCCATTTGATGCTACTCTGCAGTGAATGTAAGATTGTCATACCGTACTCGTACGCTAAGTCGTGATCCCTGCTTTTCGATGTATTATGTGGGAAGAAGATAAGACATTTTACCACTGGATGTTTAGGGCCTAGATGCGCTATGTTTTCGTATGCTACCTTACTAAAAGATGACATGCATACCTAGTTACCATAATCTTATTCGGAACATTCTCGTTGTTTTGCATGGTCCTTATGTAGAAAGGACCGTTTAACCCTCCGGGACTACGATCGCCCCATCTGTCGCGCATAGAAACTATATTCCTAGAAGCTTCATGCATGGGTACCTAGTGTCAAGTTATCCTCCTATCTAATAATATTATAGGTGTAAGCCAGGCTGTGCTCGGACAATTACTCTAGACTGGGCCAAAGTTTCCTCATAGGTGTGTGTATACAGCACAATAATCCGCTCATTCATTCGCCACATCAATATACTCCACAATCTGATCTGCTTGCTATAGTTTTTCATCCCTTCCAGACCATCATGAGAGATTATTGTCAATTCTAGCTACAATCCTCGTGCTGGAATCGCGCCTTCATCGGACAAATGTCCACACCGGGATTCTGATCCCCCTCCGGGAACGGTCGTTGAATAGTGTAGCCAACATGATGCGCCATGCGGTCAATCATTGCATTTGACTCGGGAGAATAATGCTGTCATGTCTTTTAGTAAGGATACTATTTACAAGGGCACAAGCATAGTATAACTCACGGGTGCTTCTCTGCGCTCATAGTTCCGAGGAATATCCTCGTCAAGATAGAAAGTCTTGACATCGTCAATGAATAGGGTGGTTCGGCCATGTTTACCAAACTTGCCGAGAACCCCGACCATATTTGTGTATTGGGCACTGCCTTTGTCAGAACGTATGTCTTGAATATTGGGCCTGGGGTAGTTGGGGAGTATTGGCCACTACCTAATACTTACAGTGAGCAAATTGCTCCTTGATTGCCAAAGATGAAGTCCGGGTTCTCGATTTTACTTTGGTTGTGGCGTAGGTGATGGTGCTCCGCCATATCCTCTAGGGACAAGGTTTCGCCATCCTTGGAGAAGGACAACAGGGACTCGAAGAGAGTCATGTTGATGTTAATGTTGTCACCCACTGCGCGGTCATTGCGGGTTGGTGCGGCCGGGCAATTAATCACGTATTGAACATGGTCATCCTAGAAAGACTTATTAGTGTCTAGCACGAGGGAACCAGGGGGAGCTATGGGTATCATGCATTGAAGTAATCCAAATCAATCGTTTCAGGCCATCCATGCATTGCAAAAGTTGGCGCCAGCACTAACATACTCTACCCCCACAAGTCAGCAGGAATACGAATGCGAATTATACTTTGATTTCGGGGGAAAGAGGTTTTCACATTGTCATCCCCGAAGTTCCACACTCGGCGAACTGCGTGCGCTAGCTCAGCATAAGTGATATTTCTTCCGGACCGATTGATATATCCGCGGTTTGCCAACGAATTCACGGCCGGACAAGATGAGCGACGGTAGCTCCCATCTGGGCCGGAGCCATTGAGATGCTTTTCGTAGAAATGAATGGATCCGTCAATGATGAAGGGCTGCTTCTCGGGGAGAATATGAGCGGGAATTGGGACGAACGGCTCGTTCAAGCCAAACCCTCGGTCATTGTCATCACGAAGGACTTGCTGCTGGTGATATCTAGCAGCTTGGTCCCAGTCAAATCCGCCGGGATAGCAGTAGACAACGGTAAGCCACAAACAGATAATGGCGACAAGATTCATTGTTTTGGTGATTAGATGGGAGAATCAATGAGAGAGCAATCTACGTTTGTTCAAGGAGACATGCACCCATTCTTGTAATTACCCTTGATTTAAATGACAACATTCTAGTGTATCGGGGAAGGGACTCTATTAGGAACCTTGCCTTACCTTGTGCATTGTGTGCATGGCTGGCAGGGTAGATAATGTACGGGAATAAAAATTCATTTTTCTTTATCTTGTTCAGACAGACGGCTCAATTGGGCAAATATACTTGACCTCGTAATAATCAGAAGGCTTACTTACAGCATCATGCATTTAATTTGGACGGTGGAGGACTGCTAGATGTTGAGTCGTCCAGCTGGGCCCACACTAGTAATTCGTCATAGATCGGAGTAAACACGGCCGTTCACGAGAGCGGAGATATGTAGAATGTCAGAAAATAGAAGGCATGAGTTTCACTGGGGCTGATTGTGAGGGCGGGACTTACGTTCAAGTCAAGGAATGAATATAGATGTCGGTGATTCCCATCAAAAATGTCAAGTTCCTGCTTTCTTTTCCGACAACGACATTGATTCTCTATATAAAATGACACTCTTCCCTATTTATAAGCTTTTGCTATCATTCCTCTATATTGGCAATGCTGTTGCTTGGCCAATTATTTCCGTTCAGTCGGTTCTGAAACCTTTCGCTGCACTTCCCGACGACAATGGTCCTAAGTACAGCCTTCCAATGTTTGACACCAGGTCCTGGGAAAGAGTAGACGAGATTCGTCTAGCTCGAGCAGGATATATCTATGGGCCCCCTTTACTCGGAAACACATCCTTCTTCCCTACCGGGGTTCTGGGAGAAGCAATGGTAGCCCGAGACAGGGTTGCGTGGTTCAAAGATGTGGAATATGTCACCAACAACGTCTACCTTGAGTTGGACAAGGCCGCTGCAGCACTGATTAAGGTATACCGGCAGAAGTCCCTTTGTCTAAAATGGGCCCTAGCTAATCATATAAGGTGGGGGGCATACAATCACTCTCTAGCTATGAGATTCTTTACAAAGATCAATGGGCCTCCTCACTCCCGGACGGTGTATCCCCCGGGATGCTGACCAACTGGACCCAAGATCTGCTTTTCTCCATGGAGAGGCTTTCTACTAATCCCTACGTGGTTCGACGCCTACATCCCAGAATTGGCAGTCTCCCTTTTCCAGTAGAAGATGGGGTGGTGCAACACCTGGCTGAGGGTCGAACACTGGCGGATCTACACCAGGAAGGACGTCTCTTCTATGCTGACCATTCCTATCAAGCCCCTTACCCCAAGACTCCTGGGCGCTGGACAGCCGCTTGTACCGCGTATTTCTATATCCATCCTGGATCTGGCGATTTCCTTCCATTGGCTATCAAGACTAACATGGGGAAAAACCTTACATATACGCCACGGGACGACGCAAATGACTGGCTTTTCGCCAAAATGGCCTTTGGCATGAACGATCTCTTCCATTCCCAGCTATACCATCTAGCAAATACACATGATGTCGCTGAGCCCGTGCACCAGGCTGCCTTGCGAACCATGAGCTCGCGGCATCCTGTCCGTGGATACCTTGACCGCTGTATGTTGCTCTCCCTTCGGCGTTTCAAAATTCAACGCAGCTAATTATTCAAAGTAATGTATCAGGCATATGCGGTTCGACCCATTGGTGAGGAATTCCTTTTCAATGAAGGCGGTTTCTACGACAGCTCCTTCGCGGTTCCAAACTGGGCCGGCAAGAAGTTCGCAACAGACGCCTATTGGGAGCACGCGGGTCACTTCCGGTCCACGAATTTTTATCGGGATTTCGCAGACCGTGGTCTTCTAGATTGCGCGTATGGGCCTCCGCTCCGCTCCTTCCCATTCTATGAGACTGTGGCACCCATGGTGCAAGCCATCGAAGACTTCACTCGTTCTTTCGTGGAATATTCCTACCCCAAGAGCAGTCTGATGGGCAGCGACCACGAACTACAAGCCTGGATCATGGAGGCCACCAGTGAGGCTCAAGTCATTGACTTTTTCCCTGCCCCATTATTCGCGCGCGAGGATCTTGTCTCGATTCTCTCCCACATGGCATTCCTCTCTGGGATTGCGCATCATGCACTCAATGGTGCGACTGTCGGGGAGGCCCTGGGTGTGCTTCCGTTGCATCCCTCCTCCTTCAACCAGCCACTTCCTGAGACTAAAGGGGGCATCGAATCGCTGATCCCGTGGCTGCATAACGAGACCGAGGCACTGAAGCAAGCTTCGCTCCTCGTCAGGTTCAACCGACCATTGTTGGATGAGCAGAAAGGAAACCTTCCGCATATGTTCTGGGAGACCGAATTCTTAGGCCCGGCTGGAAGCGATCTTCATGCTGCCGAGGGGAAGTTTCGGGCGACGATGTTAGCTATCAGTGAAGAAATCCGGACAAGGCAATTCGACGAGGATGGTTTATCGCAGGGTATGCCTTTTATCTGGCGTTCGATTGATCCGAGGAAGATTCCTTACTACTTGTGTGTGTAGAATGGAGTAAGATTGTGGTCTCTTAGTGAAAATTGGGAGTCTTCAATAAATGAGCTGTGGCTGCAATTTGAACCATCTTGATATTTCCACAAATTCCCACCTCTGCTTCATAGATATAAGGAAGACACGATCAAAAATAGGTCAGCAAGTCAACTACAGCTTGGACTCAGGCTTGCTGATTGCACCCCATGCCTGCTCTACACACTCCGTATACCGCATCGGATCAAAGGGCATGTGTGCACAATGGCCGGTGCCTTTAAAGACGACCTCTTTGACCTTCCACCCCTCCTCCCTAGCCTTCCCTGCATGTTCCCAGACATCCATCCAGTCAGTCAGACGATCCTCTTTCGAGTACATGTAATATATGTATCCCCTAGCTTCGGGGTCGGGTCTCTGAGGCGCAGGGCCGACAGTATCCTTGTCCAGGAGGGTACGACGCATCAGACTCGCTGGGTTTTCGTTTCCACATGCTATCCAGGTGTACAGTAGTACCAATAGACAGTGGACTACCATTGAGCCCACGAATCGAGACGCGGGAGGAAGGGAGAAGACCATTGCATTGTACGACTTCCAGTATGTCCCCTTGGCAGGCGTACTGTCCAGAACCAGCCCTATCAATGGTAGCGGCTTGGAGGCGACCTCACGGAGTATGATCAGAAGTTGGGTTGCGGTGTTGGTACCTCCATTTGAGAAGGTATGCAGTAGGATTCGCGGTGCGTTGTCGTCAGAGCTGGTTTCTGTCTCTGCTAAAGTCTCCAGGACGATGTCTACCACAGGTCGGATCCGGCGACGTTGGCGTGCGTAGCTGCTCACCAATATCGAGACATCAGACTCGATCAACAAAATCCGGGCGTGTGGTGCAATAGACCGATAGAGGTCGGTGTATTTTCCGACATGCTTGGGTGAAGCCCCAAGCCAGGTACAGATAATAATCAATTGGCCAGGAATAGCCTTCTCGGGATTGGAGAGCCAAGTGTTTGCACACAAACGCGTAGATGGCATTACAGACCTGCAAAAGATATTAATGCTCGGCCCTCGGTATGTGACTTGCAGGTGACAAGGATGTCCACATACTGCATGATGACAAATTCGGGGGACTTTTTTCTTTGTTGCTTTTCCGAATCTGGCGCCTGGGGGATTCTCCGACCTGCGAGGAAAAGGGGCGGGCTGGGTATTTAAATATGTTGGATAATTCACTGTTTCTTTTCTCTTTATCTTTATCTCCGCATCTCAAAAAACACGAAATTGGCTATCAATCGCCATGGGGGCCAATGGACCTACGCAGGAGTCTAGTCTTCCCGCTGCGCCGCCAAATGGTGGCCTGGCCGCCTGGTCGGGCGTATTTGCTTCATTTCTTCTGTTCGTCACCACATGGGGATTCTCGACTGCGTTTGGTGCCTTTCAAAGCTACTACCAATCCGACCTGTTGCGCGACAGCTCTCCGTCCCGAATCGCCTGGGTCGGCACCGTCAGTGCCTTTCTACTCATTTCCACTGGGGCTATTGCCGGTCCCCTGTTCGATCGTGGATACTTGCATCATCTGATGATCGCCGGTTGCTTCTTGACTACACTAGGGCTCATGATGCTGAGTTTGTCCACCGAATATTACCAAGTGATGCTTTCGCAAGGAGTGTGTGTGGGCTTAGGCAGTGGTCTGATCTACGTGCCTAGCCTTTCTCTGGTTTCCACCCTCTTTACTACGCGACGCGGTATTGCTGTTGGACTAGTCACCTCCGGCGCCAGTGTTGGTACGGTCATTTGACCCTTCTACTCTTCGTTTTTCTTCGTTCCGATTACCAGGACCAAATCTGACATCGACACAATCTAGGTGGGGTTATCTTCCCCGTCATCTTTATCCGACTTCAGCCGTCAATTGGATTTCCGTGGACAGTGCGTGCTATGGGCTTCATCCAGCTGGCCTGCTCGTGCATCGCCATCCCCCTTCTAATGGCCACCACCAAAGCTCGCCATGGTGCCCCTCGACGGCTCATCCACTGGCATGCCTTTCGGGAATGGAGCTTCAATGCCTACGCGGTCGCCAATTTTTTCATGTTTATGGCCTACTTCATCCCGCTCTTCTACTTGCCCACCTTTGCCTCGGTTGCCCTGCACACCTCCACCGAGCTGAGTTTCTACATGGTTTCAATTCTCAACGCGGGCTCCGCCTTCGGTCGTATCGGCTCCTCCTTGCTCACCCCTCATCTGGGCGCCAGCACTGTTCTGCTCACTAGCGTCCTCGCCTCAGCCGTGATCCTCTTCGGCTGGACAGGTATCCACTCTATCCCCGCTTTCATCGTATTCTGTGTCCTTTTTGGCATCTTCTCCGGGGTATTAATCTCCGCCAACCCATTGGTCATCGCTCATCCCATCGTCTCACCAACACCCTCGGTTATTGGGACGCGCATGGGTATGCAGTGGTTTGCCACTAGTCTGGGGGTTCTGATTGGAGCGCCGATCGCAGGTCTCATTGAGGGCCATGGGGGAGATAACGGCTTCCTTGGATTGCAGATCTTCAGTGGAATGGCAATGATAGTGGGAGCTGCGTTTCTCCTCGTACCAATTATGGCGATTTGGCGTCACGATAAACCCGTTTGAGTGCTTGGGGTTCTTCGTTAACAGATTTTAAAATATAGGTTCCATCCCCAGTTTAACGGGACGACTAGGGAACGGCCGCGTGTCTATCAGTGGAGTTGCATTCGTGCTTATGCGAAGTACAACGCTTGCATACATTTGGTTTATAACCTAACAATACACGCGGTATAAATTTCAGAACGATTCCATACCCGTACCATACCGTACATGACCCTGGACTGGACCCTTACCGTATATCAAAAGAGTGACGTCATCGGCTTCACCTAACCCTAATTGGGATGCATGCCTTCCGCTTGAATCTAGAACACAGAATCTAGATATTACACAATTATAATTCATTGTTTACTCATAAATATGAGGTATATGAGGTAGACTACCCACTAAATGTACATATACTTCTTCATTATACCCGTTATGCTTTTCTGAGCCGTTAATATTCGAGGTGGAAGCTACTTTATGCATTAGTATATCCCAAGTGTCTCTAAGTGATCATACGGATTTTTCATCTACCTTTGACTAGCCACGTCAGCTTTGGAGAGGCTAGATATGCATACATAGAGATTTGGAGCAGAAAATAATTCGTTGGTACGGAGTAAGATCCGTGAATATATGGGCGGGCAGATGGAGCCGTAATTCTAACGGACATTTCTTGATTAGATGGATAGCATTTCTTCCTTGTTGGAGTGGATCAACCACCTCAACGACGGAGAGGCCGATATGCATATGTATGGATATGGAGTAGAAAATAAGTCGTCATCAATTCTCGTGGATATAGGAAGGGTGAGAAGTAAGCGGGATTCCTAACGGACATAAGCCTCGATTTGGTTGATGTTCTGCTTTCCTCGGGCTAATTGGACTGGCTCTCTGAAAGCTAAAGCAAGCACTATGCACATGCAGGAATATGGAGCGGAAAATACGTCGTCAGTAATGCTCGGGGATTTGTCAAAGGGCGGAGGAGGGCCGTATTCCCAACGGACATGACCCTCCATTTGGTTGATGATGCTTTCGTGCTTGGACAAGTAAAGTGGGAATTCACGAGAAAACTCATGAATTTGTGGGGTTTGGTCAAGTAAGTGCTACAGTGCTCACGTTATTAAGGACATAAAAGGATACTCTAGGAACTCCTAGGAATCTTGGACTTTGATCAAATTTTCTCCTACTTCTTCAATCAACCCACTGTAAGGAGTTATAAAAACCATCGCAATGGATTTTTACAAGACTGATGCTGTGGAACTGCTTCTTTCCCCTCGCTTTGTCTCCGCAATTTCCAGGCCAACTGTACTGTTTGGCTTTGCCTGCGCATTCTTACTCTTCCAACTACTACTTTGGACAGTCCGGTACTCTCGCAAGACTACCAAGCCTCTTGCCAATATACCCGGTCCCTCGGGCTGGCCATTGGTTGGCATTGGGCTGGACCTGCCCGCCCGGCCTCGGCAGCTGTTGAACCGCTGGGCGGCGCAGTATGGGGATACATTCAAGGTTCGCGTGGGTTGGTATAACTGGGTGTTCTTTAACAGCCCAGATGCAGTCAAGGAAGTCTTTGATAGACAGGTAATTCCATCCCCAAACACTTGCATCCTTCCCAACAGCACAAGAAGCAGAATTAGATGCTAATTGGCACATAGGCCGCCGTCACATCCGGCAAACCGCCCCTGCCCATCGCACAAGAGTTCTGCCTGAGGGGTGAGGGTGTGCTGCCCATGACTTATAGTACAAAATGGAAGCGGCTTCACGCGTTTCTGAAACAGCTCCTCAACGCCAAGGCATCCGCAGCATTCATCCCAAGCCAGGAGTTTGAAATCAAGCAACTCCTCTGGGATCTCAGCCATGAAGCGAACAATGAGGGGCGCAATAGCACCGACTTCTACAGACATATCCGCCGCATGACCTTTTCCATAGTCATGACATCGGCATACGGGCTCCGAATCCCCAAGTGGGACTGCCAGGAAGTCCGCGACGTCTACGGCAACATGCGAATGCTGTCTATCATTCTGAGTCCTGGAGTCTTCTGGATTGATGTATTCCCACCTCTGAACTGGCTGCCGCGGTTCTTGTTCCCCTCGTGGCCAAAGGCCAAGTTCATGGCTGAAAAGATGCACGGCAACAAAATGAGGCACTGGAACAATCTGAAGGAACGTATCGCCGCAGATAATGCCCCAGAGTGTTTTGCCAAGGACCTCATGGAGTCAAACTACCGCGAATATGGTCTAGAGGAGGAGAGTATCTCATGGTTAGCCAGTGCTGTCCCCGAAGCGGGAGCTGAGACGACCGCCAGCGCGTTGAATGGCATGATCCGGTACCTGGCAATGTTCCCAGAGGCACAGGCACGGGCATTCGAGGAGGTGACGCGGGTCCTGGGTGATGGGCGGATGGCGACCCTGGCCGATGAGCCGGAAATGCCCTACATCAAGGCTGTTATCAAAGAGACTCTGCGGCTATGTCCGGTCGCTACTACGGGGCTTCGGCGCATGGCGGATGGGGACGTACACTACCGCGACCATCAGATTCCTAAGGGTACCATTCTCCTCGCTAATCTGAATGCTCTGCACTGGGACCATGAACGCTTCCCAGATCCCTTTGGCTTCAGACCTGAGCGCTACCTTAATCACCCGCAACGTTCTGCGGTGTATGCCGCAGGTGGTGATATCTTCGCCCGCGACCATTTTACCTTTGGCGCTGGCCGTCGTATTTGCCCGGGGATTCACTTGGCTGAGAATGGGCTCTTCTTGGCGGTGTCCAATCTCATCTGGGCCTATGAATTCCGGTTGCCGTTAGATGATAAGGGAAACGAGGTTCCCTTGGATATCAGCGACGAAGGTTTTATGGAGGGCGCGATCCGAGTGCCGAAGGAGTACTCGGTACGGATTTTAGAGCGTTCCACAGCTCGGTCAGACCTAATACGGCAACAGTGGGATGAGGCGCAGCGAGATGGGTATGTTTTGCGAGGGGTGCATGTTGATGTGAATGGAGGAGTCCGAGCAGCATCAAAGAAGGTTGAGTAGATGTAAACATTGACATCCTATGTGAAGAATTGAGAATTTCTGCATCGAGATAATGGGGCTTGATTTGGGTACTTCTAAGCCGACTTTGATGGTCTAGAAATGATGTAGTTATCCACTCTCTTATTCTAACCATTCTATCCTGTAGGGGTAACTATAGTTACTACTTGGTCGTACGGCGGATTAATATAGTCAAAACCTCATACATCTACGTGCGTGTCGGAGCTCGCTTCAGTACTGTACCGATATCAGCAATACGCTAAATTAGAGGAAGAGCGACTTCCAATCAATTTGCATATAAAAGAAAAGTCACTCATGTGCATATGATGATCCCAATACCTGGAAGAATGGGCATTGGAACTATCATAGTAGAGAGTCATGTAACAAAAGCCAAGGTTCCTGTTTGGGGCCATATTCCAGTCTGACACTTGGTCTCGAGGTCAGGTTGTTATCATTGCCGCACCATATTGAGCATAATTGAACAGCCAAATAACCAACAGTACAAGATTATCATATCTGACAGAGCCACTCTTTCAGTGCATGTCTTGCTCGCACCTCGACTCCATTCTCACGCCAGAAGTGGCCCGCGCCATCAATCATCCGAAACTGGAACTTACTGCGTTCCATATTCACCATTTTATCTGACCATCTCTGCAGTTTCCCAGTAGATGTGAAGGTATCCTGGTCCCCAAACAGTGCCAGAGTATTATGCGTGCTCTGCTGATCTGCTGGACGCGGGCAGGGGATGTGGGGGCCGTTAGGGGTCTCTGTTTTGAGATTCAGCGATAAAGTCGAGAATGCTGTCAGGAATTGGCTAATCGGGGGCAAGAGCGGAGACACGAGAAGATAGGAGATAGATGTCGTCAATGCACCGAGGTCTGGATCGTCGGCCAGACTGTGACTTATTTGAAGTCTCTCCAGGGACAATGCGGCTATCCGTTTTGCTGTGTTCCTAATCTCGTGTATGGGTGTGGCCCTATTTGTAGAGGTTGTCGTTGGCGTGAATTGGAAAAGGCCGAGCATGGTATCAAGGGTCGGTACATGTGACGCAATCAAAGACCCATATGAATATCCACCGAGGATAAGACAAATATCTGAGCTATTTCCTACTCCGTCGATGGCTTTTTGAGGCTTTGAAGGGTCGACTTGTTCCCTCGAGGCCAATACGAGCTTGAGAAAGTGCAGATATTGCAACATGAACCCGTAGAACGACACATAGTCACCAAGCTCGGGCTTTGCAGTCCAGCTTGTTCGTCCTTGGGAGTTACCCGCTCCACTATTTGTTATTCGTTAGCAACTTTGTCGTGGCGGAGTGTTCAATGAATGATTATACCGAAAGTTGAAGGTTCCCAGGATGCAGCCAGCTTGTATAAGCTCACTGCCAATGAAATCGACGACTGGATCATCGTAGCATCCTCCTAGAGTTGCGTATGGGTGCGCGACAATGGCACCGCGGTTGGACCAGGTTGTTGGTGATTCTATATTTTTGAGCGCGGGCGGGAGGTAAATGCGGCATTCGAGTTTGTTGCCATCGTAAACAGATGGAAGGACAAAGGAGAAGCTTGCTGTTGGAAGATCCATGACCAGGTCTAGTTTATTTCATATTGCTTTGTTTTTAGAATGCAAAGCTTACGGTGTGCTGTGCTATGCAGGAAGAGGTCGAGGGGCGAGGTTTCGCTGATCCGCCCACCCTAATAATTCGGAAGACCAACTAGACACAATTTACACATCGTCAAGTACAAGTATGCGAGATACGGGCATATAATGTAACAATCCAATTTATCGATATGAGATGACAACACTAGAAATAAATTTATAAGACGAAAAGATGCAGTTGGCTGGAAGATGCTGTGTAAATCATGCAATGAGCTCTGCTTCATTTAATAGTACTAGAGATCCTGATCAAGTTAGCCATGACGGATCTGGCTCATCATCTTCCGACCTGGCATCGGAATGATTAGGGTCTGCATCCTTGAGCAGATCGGCTGGAGGTTCTGGGTCGTCATTTTCCAGCTGATCCGGACGGGTGTCCTCATGTTCGACCTCCAACTCGTGGTGTATTAGAGGATCTTTGGGGGATATGGAATTCAGGGGTGCATCATCTTCATGCACCGGGAGGCCGAAGGCGGGAAGAAGCAAGCCCCTTGCCTCTCGCAGGGCCTCTAGCTCCGCTGCAATGCAGCAAACTAATAGCTTCCAATCCTTATCCTCAGCGAGCTCCAGATGTGATTCGACCCGGTGAGTGGTACTCTTTAAGTCATCCAGAATACTTCTCACCAGCCCGTCTTTATAACCTGTTGGTGTGGACACTTCTGACTCGGTCGTTGGTGTGGTCATCTCAACATAATGCCGCATGTTGGCTTGCAAGCGCTTCTCGAAGCTTGTAACAGCGGACACCACTTGTTTCCATATTCCGCCTCCTTCTTCTAGTGCCAGTATTTCCGCATCCACTTGCTGTTGCCTACTGTGCAAACCGACTTGTTCTGTGTTCCAATGCTCCTGGGCCATGTCAAGTGTGCGACGTTTGGGATTCAAAGAGTGAAAGGTAGATTCGCCTGAGCTTTGCGATAACGGTTGGATAGGAGGGTCACGGAGGTAGTTTCGGATGTCGGAGTCGAGTAAAGACAAAGATTGAGTATAAGAAGAGAGCTTGGCATCGACCGAGTTGTTAATATGTGATATCTCGTTCGCGAGATGCCGATGTTTAGCTTTCATCTCATACAGCCTGGTCTCCAATTCATGAATGTCAGTCTCGAGATTCCGAGCCTCTTGTTCTAGCTGCTTTGAACGTCGGCTCTCCTCGTCTCCATGTATAGTAGTGATAGCGTCTTCCAGACCATTCCTTCTTGAGAGGAAACTTTGGATATCATGTAGCGCGTTCTCTCTTTCATTGGTCTGAGATATCAGAATCTCTCGTTCTTCTTCCCGCAACTTCAGTAGATCATATATTGATTGAAATATGCCCTCCCGGGCAGCCCGAAGCCCGATTTTCTTAGGCGTGGGCTGCCTAGCAGGCACCGTGGAAGGGGATTGTGATCGGGCCGCACTAGACGACAATTTTGGGGTCGAATTTCCGGTCGAGCTATCGTCCGCTTGCAGCCCGGAGAGAAGGCCTTCGCTTTGAGCATCGATCAGGAGTTGGAGATTGCGTTGTATGTGTTTTGCCTGACGTTCAACATGTAAAAGAGGGTCATGGTAAAACATTGAAATTCGAGCCGGAACTGGCGGCAGCCTCTTACTATCGAAAGATTGTTGAAGAAGCGTCGACATGACAGAGGAAGGACCGTGGAGGATGGCCAAGCTTCGACCGGAGGGATGGCTAGAGCTTTCTCGCGGCAATCCGGCGTAGGAAGACTATTTAGCGGTTTTAATCTAAGATCGGATCAGAAAGAAATAGTCCACTCGATAGGTGATGGGCTGTTTACCGCGGACTCAGGCAGCTCGCAGCTGACCGAGCGCCGTCCACGTGACCCGTCATGTACAGTCAGCTCCGCTCAGGCGTTGACGTTGCTCTCGCGCCAGCAAAGCTTCTGACAACTGCTCCCAGCTTCCATTCGTATGTGCACTTCATCCATTTCGTCTCTTTCATTTAATCAAATTCCGTCTTTCTTGTCATATTCTCATTATTTGGGGTGACTAAATCTCCCTTGACACCTTGCTCTGCGCTGGGGCTGATTTGCTGTTCTAAGCTCTCTCCCGATTGACGTTGCTTCATCACAACAGCAACAATACACTTATCACTCCTCAAATTCCGTCCAGAAACTCGCGACGCGAATCCTCTCTCAATAAAGATGGTCGGACTCGTATCGGCCGCCGGTTTGGTTGGCTTCCTCTCCGAGCCTGACCCAGAGCTCAAGGTCTTTGCTTTGAGGACATTAGATTCTCAAATCGATCATCTCTGGACAGAGGTTGTCAACGCAGTTCCTGAAATGTGAGTTTGTTTTGACTAGACTCGTGAGAATAAGCATTATCTCGGTTTTTGCGTCATTTCTCCCGAGTCTGACCGGCTACTAGGCCCCTGCTGACTATCTATCTAGTGAGGCTCTTTACGAAGATGAATCATTTCCGGAACGCGGCCTTGCAGCACTAGTCGCATCGAAGGTATATTATCATCTGCAGGAATATAACGAGAGTATGGTTCTTGCTCTAGGTGCTGGAAAGCTGTTCAAGTTGGAAAACGGCGGAGAGTATGAGGAGACCATTATCGGTATGTTGAAGAAGATCCACAGCATGTCTCTCTTTGATACTAACATGTTTTGCCATGTAGCTAAATGTGTCGATACCTTTGTCTCTCTATCTGCCGCTCAACGGCCTATCGCGGGTGACCAACCAGCCAATCTAAACACTGCATTCCCAGCATCAGGCGACGGTGCCACCAGCACATCCGCCAGCCTCACTTCTCCTATTACACCTTTTTCCAAATCCGCACTCCCTTCCAAATCGTTACTTTCTCGCGCGGAGGTTCCCGGTGTGGACGCCGCACACCCTGGTGGCGATGACACTAGCGTTCAGCACGAGGAAAACTCTCTCGTGTTGAAGCGTGGTGTCCAGGGACAACTGCAGACCGTCATTGAGCAATTGTTTGAAGCATGCTTCAGACAGAAGCGATACCGTCAAGTCATTGGAATCGCCATCGAGGCAAAGAACTTGGATGTGCTCCGCATGGCCATCCTTCGCGCCAGTAGCGACGAAAAGCAGGAAGATGGTGACTCCCATGGTAGCGAGGAGCTCATGGAATATGTCCTGGATATCTGCATGGGCATTGTCCAAGAACGAGCGTTCCGCAGCGAGGTTCGTTCACCAAATATATCTACCATTTTAGCTGAGTCGGCTAACCAAGGCTTCATTTTCTAGATCCTCAAACTAATTTTGGAACTTCTTAATGAAATCCCGGCACCCGACTTCTTCTCAATCGCTAAATGTGTTGTCTATCTTAATGAACACTCCATGGCCTCTGCTATTCTTCGCCAGCTCGTTGAGAAGGGAGATGCGCGATCTCTCGCCGTTGCCTATCAAATTTCTTTCGACCTTTACGACAACAGCACTCAGGAGTTCCTTCAGAAGGTTCGGCAAGAGATTGCTGAACTTGTCCCTGAAGACGAGGCGGAAAAGAATAATGAAGAGGACAGCGAGCCAACAGAGTCTGACGCATTACTCGAAGACCAGGGGAGCTCTTCCCGGCCCTCGGATAAACATGTAGAACTACCAGAGGCAGCGGCGACTGCATTCAAGAACATTCTTTCGATCCTTGATGGAATCAAGACCATCCAGCTGAATCTGGAATTCTTATACCGGAACAACAAGGCTGACATCGCGATTCTGAACAAGATTCGTGACAGCCTTGAGGCTCGCAATTCTATCTTCCACACCGCTGTGACACTTTCAAATGCGTTCATGCATGCAGGAACTACTCACGATAAGTTCTTCCGTGATAACCTGGAGTGGCTGGGCAAGGCCGTAAATTGGTCGAAGTTCACAGCCACTGCTGCATTGGGCTGTATTCACCGCGGCAACCTCAGCCAAGGTCAGAAGCTCCTACAGCCTTACCTGCCCCGGGAACACATTGCTGGAGTTGGGGGCTCAGGGTCTGTCTACAGCCAAGGTGGTTCCCTTTACGCCTTTGGTCTCATCTACGCCAACCACGGCGGGATGGCAGTTGACATCATTCGTGACCATTTCAAGAAGGCCACGGAAGAGGTGGTTCAGCATGGTGGTGCTCTTGGTCTCGGTGTTGCGGGTATGGCGACAGGCGACGAAGGCATTTACGATGACCTGCGGAGCGTTCTTTACACCGATTCCGCTCTCAATGGCGAGGCTGTCGGTCTCGCCATGGGTCTCATCATGCTTGGTACCGGTAACATGAAGGCTCTTGAGGACATGATCCAGTACGCACACGAGACACAGCACGAGAAGATTGTTCGTGGTCTAGCTATGGGTATGGCTTTGATCATGTTCGGACGCCAGGAAGCTGCCGACGAGCTCATCAACGGCCTTCTCGGGGACCCCGACCCAACTCTGCGCTACGGTGGTATCATGACCATTGCCCTAGCTTACTGTGGCACTGGCAGCAACAAGGCAGTTCGTAAGCTTCTGCATGTCGCTGTCAGTGATGTTAATGACGATGTGCGCCGAGTTGCTGTGCTCAGCTTGGGATTCATCTTGTTCCGCAAGCACCAGAGTGTACCTCGTATGGTGGAGCTGCTTTCCGAGTCATACAACCCTCACGTCCGATACGGTGCCGCCATGGCGCTCGGTATCTCCTGCGCCGGCACCGGATTAGACGAAGCTATCGACCTCCTGGAGCCTATGCTCAAGGACTCTACCGACTTTGTTCGTCAAGGTGCTCTGATCTCTCTTGCCATGGTTCTCGTCCAGCAGAACGAGGCCATGAACCCTCGTGTTACCAGCCTTCGCAAGGCCATGATGAAGATGCTTGGTGACCGCCACGAGGATGCTATGGCTAAGTTTGGTTGTGCCATCGCTCTCGGTATCATTGACGCTGGTGGCCGAAACTGCACTATTAGCCTGCAGACGCAGACGGGTAACCTTAATATGCCTGGTATCGTGGGTGTTGCGGTCTTCGTGCAGTACTGGTACTGGTTCCCTCTCACACACTTCTTGTCGCTTAGCTTCACGCCAACATCCGTAATCGGTGTCGACCAGAAGCTCGAAGTCCCACACTTCAAGTTCCACAGCAACACCCGCCCCAGTCTCTTCGACTACCCCCCTGAGCAACAAGTGAAGACCGAGGAGGCCCCAGAGAAGGTCAAGACTGCTGTTCTTTCTACCACTGCCCAGGCCAAGCGTCGCGCGCAGCGTCGGGAGAAGCAGGCACGCCGTGAGAGCATGGACATTGACCAAGCGCCCACAACACCCAAGGCTACTGATCAGCTGCTGGACACAATGGACACAGATGATGCTCCTAAAGAGGAGGGAGAAGAAGGCAAGGAGACAGAGAAGGTTGCTGCAGATGTGCAGAAGAAGAAGGCAGAGCGGGAGAAGGTCGGGTACGAGCTGGACAACCTGTCAAGGGTACTACCAGCTCAGCTCAAGTATCTCACTTTCCCTGACCCGCGGTATGAACCGGTCAAGAGGGTATGTTCATTCTTATTTGTGCTAATGAATCCAATGCTAACAAAACTCCAGCCCACTGGTGGTGTTGTCGTTGTTCTCGACAAGCAACCTGACGAGCCTCGCGAGGTCATTGAATTGAAGGCCAGCAAAGAGGCTCGCCAACCGCCTCCTCCGACCGAAACCCTCCAAGACCGTCTGCAGGCCGCAATTGGAACCGCTGCTCTCCAGACGCCTCAACGGGCTGGTGCTCGGGCTGCTCTATCCGCAGCCACGTCAGGCGGTGCTGCCGCTGCTGCCGGTGTTCTGACGGCGGTGGATGAGGACGAAGAAGGCGTAGAGGATGCACCTGTTCCTAGGGATTTCTCATACGAGTCAGACGGTGAGGGGCAGTAGAGTGTTTTTGCGGCATAGAATCTCGATGCTGGATGTATTACTAGACTAATCAGGCTGTCTACGCCGACGTGATCTATTTGGGGGCTAGTATAGCTTTCCGTCACTGTGATTGATATGAAAGTTCCTATGTTACTTTTAAATTGGCCATCTTTCTTGTCGTATTATATGCACTCGACCGCAGCCGGGGCACCGCTTGATGGTTTCGTAGTAGAACTTGCACATGCCGGGGGTACATAGTGACGAAACTATGAACCGGAACTAATCAATTGTATCAAGTGACTATAATGACAGTTACATCATATAACTATCGAGATATCAATATTGGCAGACTCCGTCCTGTTTACATGCTCATCATTCACATGCTCACATGCCCGGTCTCGGCTGACTCAGCCATCCACTGCACCCAGACCAGAGAACTGTTATGCCTCGGCATTTCCATTTATGACGCAGCACGAGCCAATAAACTGTCTGTCAACGGCGATGACCGAAATGATCGGCAACCAATGAAACATCGACTGCTACAACGTAAGATCCCAAGGTCGACTCTGTGTGGAGGCATGTGAACTGGTACTATCACGGTCCGAGGCCCCTTTTGGTGCATCGTCATGTCCTGACTTGGAATATCGCCCGAACTTGGCGGAATTTGTTTCTTGCCCCATACCTCGTCTGAGAACTCATATATTCCCCAGCTTCCCCGGACTTGAAAATCTCTTCTTTCTCCCAAATGGTTATTGCTTGGTCTTAGTATAAATATTTGTTGTACGCCTTTTTTTTTCTTTCATTCCTCAAATCTCCTCCCCCCATCGCCATGGCAAAGACATTTAGCAAAGAGGATGTCGCCTCGCATAGCAAGGGTGACAGTCCCTGGGTCATTATCGATGAAGATGTCTACGATGTTTCCAAGTTCCAAGATGAGCACCCTGGTAAGTGAACTCATGTGTGCAAATGCAGGGAATCACATGTTAACACTTCTTGTTCTGAACAGGTGGAAAGAAGAGTACGTTGGTCCGAGAGCATCCGCTACGTCCGATGAATTCACGTTGACAGTGTATATCTAGTTCTCCAGCGAGTTGCGGGAAAGGACGCTTCGAAACAGTTCTGGAAATACCACAACGAGGGCATTCTGAAGAAGTACAAGGGTCAGCTGCAGATCGGTTCGTTGGATACAAAGAAGACGGCACCGGCACCCTCGGCACCCTCGGCACCCCCGGCACCAGCGCCAACCCCGAAAAAGGCTGCCCCCGAGCCGAAACCTACCATTTCTGAGTCTTCCGTGACACCACCTGCCATCGGCGCTCCCCAGGACCCTTATGGAGAGTTGATCCCATTCGCCGACCCCTCGTGGTACCAAGGTGTAAGTCTTGCTTTCGCTCTATATCATCGATCTGTGCCTTTTACGGTTGCACCGAAGCTAATCTATATGGCGCTCATAGTATGCATCCCCCTACTTCAGTGAATCCCATGCCGCACTGCGAGACGAGGTCCGCCAGTGGGTCGAGTCCGAGATCGAGCCATATGTGACCGAATGGGACGAGGCCAAGGAAGTGCCCGCTCACATCTACAAGCAGATGGGCGAGCGGGGCTACCTGGCTGGACTGCTGGGTGTCCATTTCCCCCAGAAGCACACCCCATACCGCGTGAAGTCTGTGTCAGCAGACCGGTGGGATTTGTTCCACGAGATGCTTCTGACCGACGAGCTGTCGCGTGTCGGCAGCGGTGGTCTGGTGTGGAACCTGATCGGTGGCTACGGAATTGGCTGCCCGCCATTGGTCAAGTTCGGCAAGAAGCCCCTCGTCGACCGAATCCTGCCGGGTATCTTGGCCGGCGACAAGCGCATTTGCCTCGCCATCACCGAGCCCGATGCGGGTAGTGACGTCGCAAACTTGGGTTGCGAGGCCAAGCTCACCGAGGACGGCAAGCACTACATTGTCAACGGCGAGAAGAAGTGGATCACCAACGGTATCTACGCTGATTATTTCACGACCGCTGTGCGCACCGGCAAGGATGGCATGAACGGCCTCAGCGTGCTGCTTATAGAGCGTGAAGCCGGTGGCGTTAGCACCCGACGCATGGACTGCCAGGGTGTGTGGTCTAGCGGTACGACCTATGTCACATTCGAGGATGTCAAGGTTCCCGTGGAGAACCTGATCGGCAAGGAGAACCAGGGCTTCAAGGTTATCATGACAAACTTCAATCACGAGCGTATCGGCATTGTGATCCAGTGCGTGCGCTTCTCGCGCGTCTGCTATGAGGAGTCCATGAAATACGCACATAAGCGCAAAACCTTCGGCAAGCGTCTCATCGACCACCCGGTTATTCGCATGAAACTCGCCCATATGGCTCGCCAGATCGAGGCCACCTACAACTGGCTTGAGAACATCATCTTCCAGTGTCAGTCTATGGAGGAGACCGAGGCTATGCTCAAGCTCGGCGGTGCCATTGCTGGATTGAAGGCGCAGTCAACGCAATGCTTTGAGTTCTGCGCTCGCGAGGCTAGTCAGATCTTTGGTGGTTTAAGTTACAGCCGCGGCGGTCAGGGCGGTAAGATCGAGAGACTGTACCGTGATGTGCGTGCCTATGCTATCCCCGGTGGTAGCGAGGAGATTATGCTTGATTTGAGTATGCGCCAGAGTTTGCGTGTTCACGGCATGTTTGGCATGAAGCTATAAAGCATTTTCGGGTTGTTTTCGGCTGCGGTGGGAGAGCATGCCCATTTTGATTGATTTTCTCTACTTTTGGCTAGATATCCTGTCGTCTTTGACGGCATTTCTTTTCTTTTGCTATAATCTGCCTTGTACGATAACATCACATTGGATTTTCTATATTTTACAACTTACGGTGGACGCCATTACCTTCCAAGGTTCCTGGATATGCACTGCGTATCACTGATTTTAATTCAACAACCAAACTCTTGGTGTCTCGATCGTTTGCGATGTTAGCTGGCCATTGCGTTGGCAAAATTAACTATGACTAATTAGTTGATAACGTCAAGTCATCCTTGACATAATAACTAGTTAACTAACTAACTAACTAGTTACGTGGTAACGTATTTCACTACCGAGTGGGCCACCACTAGCGAGTGGGCCACCCATCCAAAACGCGTCGATTAATTTAAACCCTTCTTCTTCAACCACCAACTATGCCACCAATTCGCTCTCAACGCTCTAGAAATTTAATAGAGCAAGAGGGTAGGATCTTACTAGCTATCCAGGCTTTTAAGAATCAAGAAATTTCTTCAATTCGTGAGATAGCGCGCCGTTTCGAAATCCCTCGTACTACCTTACAACGGCGCCTTGCCGGTAATACCTTTCGTCCTGAAACACGCGCCAATAACCATAAGTTGACTGAAAGTGAGGAGGAATCGCTTAAAAAATGGATACTCTCTATGGATTCTCGTGGAGCAGCCCCCCGGCCCTCTTTTGTACGAGAAATGGCGAATCTTCTCCTCTATCAACGCGGAACTACCCTGGTCCCTTCAGTTGGCGAAAATTGGGTTATAAAGTTTATAAAACGGTACCCTCTCCTCTCCTCCCGATTCTCGAAGCGTTACAATTATAAGCGCGCGAAATGTAAAGACCTAAGGATTATTGGAGAATGGTTTAATCTGGTTTAAAAAACCATTCTTTAGTATGGAATCGATCCGGACGATATTTATAACTTTAACGAGATAGGTTTTGCTATAGGATTAACTATAACGGCAAAGGTTATAACTAGACGTGAATACTATAGTCGGCGATTACTTTTATAGCCTGGAAATCGCGAGTAGGTGACTATAATTGAATGTACAAATGCCTTAGGTTGGGTACTACCTCCGTATATTATCTTTAGGGGTAAAACATTTATTAAATCTTAGTTCGATAGCCTTCCAGAGAACTAGCGTTTTAAAGTTAGTCTAAATAGTTAGACTTCTGATAAAATTAGGCTTCGCTAGCTTTAAAAGCTCTTTATTCCTTCGACTTTATCATATATAAAGGGAAGGTATCGACTTTTGGTACTCGACGGCCACAGAAGCCATTTAACCCTAAAGTTCGATGAAATTTACAAGTAAAATAATATTATACCAATTTGTATACCACTGTATTCCTCTTACCTTTTATAACCGCTCGATATCGGCTGTTTTGCGGTATTAAAGCGGGCGTATAGTCGGCTGGTTAAATTAAAAATGTGGGTTAGAATCAACCATATTGATAAACTTGAATTCCTTAAAGTATACCCATTTGCACGAACTGAAGCTTTTAAATTAGAGACAATTAAGAATAGCTTCTTAGCAGCCGGTTTAGTACCCTTTTTACCCGATTAGGTACTTTCGAAGCTGAGTATCCAGCTTCGAACGCCTACCCCCCCTCCGAGCCGGGGTAGTGAATCAAGCCGGAATTTTACCCCTAAAACTCCATTCACGGAGAAAGAACTACGTCGACAAGCTTTATCAATCAAAGCTTTACTTCGTATAAGGTCTCGCAGCCCACTAAGTCCATTAAATCGTACATTGGACCAGCTTATAAAAGGCTTCTGTCTTACAATGCAAGGCGCTATCTTACTTGCCAAAGAAAATAAGGAACTACGCGCTGCCAACGAGAAACAAAAGCAAAAGTGTACTAGATCCCGGAGGCAGATACCCGCCGAAGAAGGCCTCTCAGTTCAAGAAGCCTCTGCATTGATTATACGGCAATAGGAAGCAACTGAAGGGCCTCTCTCCGGCTCCGGTATACCTCAGGAATCGGCTATTCAGCCACGTACGCGGCCCCCCCGGGGATGTGGAATATGCAGGTTGCCGGGGCATAGAAGAGAAACATGTCCAGATAGACAGATTATTTAGTTAAATTAATTTAATGGCGTTTTGGTTGAGATATTTACATTTAAAATTGGTAGGTTGGGATGGGTGGCCCACTCGCTAGTGGTGGCCCACTCGGTAGTGAAATACGTTAGTAGGTAAGCTCTGTGTAAAAGAAAGCCATTTTCCCCGAGCTAGCTTTTTTTACTCTCTGTTCAACATCAAACCTTTCTACCAAATCATGGACCGACTGCCATCAGAGATCAAATGTCTGATTGCGAGATATGTACGTCGACCTTTTCTCCAATGGTGTTGATATCTGACCATATCTGCAGATGGGCGATGAATGTATGAAGAGCTTGGCTGCACTCTCCCTGGTGGACCAAGAATGGAACAGAATTGCCAGGCCGCTCTTGTACGAGCATATCATTATACGTCCACTCAAAGATGATGTCTCTCATAAGTTTCACTGGCAGCCAGAAGCCAGCCGTGTTCTCGTACACATAAAGCGACTCAGTATCATCGTCCCATGGTATCCAATTAGCGGCCCACCGCGCGCACCAGTGCTTCGTGCCTACAGCGGCCTCCGGGCTTCGCTTAAGACAGAGAATTTGGGAGGTCAAAGCATTCCCAAATTTAGGGGTTGTTCAACGAACCAGAGCGCCGAGGTAATTGACCTCATTCACAAGGTCGATCAATTGCGGGATATTGATCTTCTTATGTCCAACGGCGGCCCTGTCGAGCTTCACAAGGCCATCAGGCAGTATCATCCAGATTGTCGATCATCTGTCTACTTGAGTCCTCAAGTGGGAGACATGTATCGAAAGACAGACGATTGGGTTCTATCGCCGCAGCTGCACACCGCACATGTTACTCTTTTCGAGCATCCGGAGCGCAGGAACTTCAGGGAGCACCCAGATAGAGTTCTTGAAGATATGATTATTCGTGCACCGCATGTCAAGAGACTTGCATTACAGATTGTCGCGGGTGGTCAGGCCGGCCCGAAGGAAGACTTCAGCGAGACGGTGGTTGTTGAGGGAAGGGTTGGGGTGGAACCACTGCGTGCAAAGCTTGAACAGCTAGCGTGGCCGCTGAATACCCTAATGCCGGCTGGGCAGTTCCTCAAGTGGGATAAGCTAGTAGATTACAGCTGCTTAAAATCGTGGACCGTTGGCTGCATCGAAGAGACCCAAGTACTGCGCGCTATTGCCGGTCTCCGTCCCTTCCAGCAGCTAAATAGACTCACCCTCGCTCTCTTCCCACCGCAAGACGACGAGTTATCCTTCTACACAGCTGTAGAGGCAATGTTCGACTCCCTCCCCCCGCTCACATACCTCTGCCTCCTGGGTAGCTACAAACCAGCCCTCCTGTCTACTGCCCTTCGCAAGCACGGCCCAACGCTACTTGAACTAAAGCTCAACGTCGGCTCCCAAGACTTGAACCATCAGACACTCCGCCGACTCCGCGCAAAAGGCCAGAGTGTGACAGGCCCAATATGTTCCGTCGAGGAAATCCATCCCCTTGCAGCCCATTGCCCCTCCCTCCAGACCCTGTGCATCGCCATCCAACGCAATCGCGGCCTCGAAACACCCGCATACACCGCGCTCGCCCTGTTCCCAGCTCTAACAACTCTCGAGCTCTACCTGAACTGCCCACCGCTTGTGGACCCCAACGAAATCGAACCCCCCTCCCCAGTTCCACCGCGCGACCTAACGGAATTTGAGAAGTCTCAACCCCTGCCTTCTACCGGCCTCGAGGTGCCTATCTGGTACATCAGAGACACAATGATTAACTCCGCTATCGACAAGGATCTGGCCAAGACTATATTTACACACATCCGCTCCCACCAGGTTAGGGGTCAGTGCCTCACGAAGTTAAAGATTCATCCCTTGTATAGTGCACCTGCAGCTGCTGCAAGAAGCATATCAATAGTGTCGAATTGCAATATCTTCAAAGCGCCGGCTCCGTCTTGGACGGTTCAGACGGACCTTCTGGTCGGTGTCAAGGCCGTAAAGCATATGCAGAAGCAGAGTGCCCGTCGTTGGGTGTCTGAGGGGGCTGCGCAGTTGGAGGTCATTTTTAATTCTGTTTGGCCGCCGGCGGAAGGGGAGGAAGAGAATGGAAATGAGGGTAATTGGCTGCAGAGGTGGTGTAGTTGGCCTTTGCAGTGGGGTACATAGGGTCGTCGGTGATGGAGATTCAGAGATTCTTTCATAACATCATAAGAAACTTCGGACTAACTTATACATAGGTTCATAAAAGGGAGAATCAAGAGACAGTTCTTTGATGAGAAAGTGATACGGATTCCAAGGTTTCACCATGAAGATCGGCTCGCTGGTGCAACGAGTTTCGTAGATTGTGGAGAAGATGAGAGAAGAGAGAGGATGATCATGATGATAGCGATTATTGCCCCCTGAAGGCGCAAGCTCAGGGGCTCTTGGAAGTGTAAAGCTTGTCTTCAGACACGATAGGAATGTAAACACACTGAATTTCAATATGGCCTTCATTTCGAAACGATGAATTGTGAAGCCTGTCCTTGCCTCAAGTACACATCTCGACCATTCATAGTTCCTCTGCTCCTCTGATCAAGATGCAATTCATAATATGGCTCAACTATCCCAAGTTGCACGATGTTCCCGAATGTGAACCATAGGTACCCATGCTTGATTGGATAACTCAATCAACCGGCGAATAGCGGTCAACTGGTCGCCTACGTCGAGACGGGCCATATCGTTGCCTTGGTGAAACTTTGGGAGACAGCGTAGCAGAGGTTATAGGACAATGTGAGCGTCTTGTTGTCGAATGCTCACGCACACGCAAGGAGTCTCCTTTATTACTTCTCTTGAGACGTGTACTATACCGGACATTGAACACAATGTGGTCGCGAAGTACGTTGAG